AAGAAAAGGCACATCGGGTTTCTTTGGGGGATTTATAAAGGCCAAGTCGGAGTACAGACAGAAGTCCACGGTCTGAACTGGAAGGCGCCGTTTCGCACGGAGAGCGCGGGACTGGGGGGGTGGGGTGGAAGGAAATCCGGAAGCTCTTCGTTCTCCTCGCTTCAACCTGGGCTTCGTTTCCTGGAGGTAATTTCCCTTTCTCCCCGGCTCTGCAGCAACCCCCTTGCTGTCTCACCATTTGTGTACCTGCGGAGGGTTTCGCCCGACGAATCCCCAATCTACTGTGAAATTTCAAGCACCGGATCGCTCTGAGTTCGATTCTTGTTATCGGCGCTGGTAGGGTAGGAGAGTATTGGCTTCTGCGGCGAGAGTCCCGCTTCTCTCTCCGGTTTCTCCCCCACAGCCGGCAAAACAGCACCAGCAGATACCCAAAGCTTTCTTTGTGTTTGGCTCATGGGCTCCGAGCAGGAGTTGCTCTAGTTTGATTTCAGAACCGCCCATGGAGTTCCACGGTTCAAGTTGATCCTTTGATTGGGGAAATGTTCTCTTTCAGTGTAGAGATTTCATTGACTCGTTTCATTATATATAGTGATATGGCAAAGTGACCGATTTTCTGGAAGGAAACACCTGCCTCACCTGTTATGGTCGCAGTTAAGTTCCTCAAGAGATGCTCAATCATGGTGTATTTCAAAGAAAAGAAGGGGCAGTTATGATCCAAACTTAATGTTTGCATCCATCTTGGCATAGTTTCAGTGCATATGTTTTAGTAAGGAATGCCCCTTAATATACTCGGAGTTTCTATGTTCGGATGTTGGTAACGAAGAAAGTGGTTGAGATTAATTCTCCGATGGATGAAATTAATCTACTCCGCCAAGCCCAGCGGCACCATTTGGTGATGAGGGAGATTGGAGAAGAGATTGATTTGGAGATTGGGCATGGCGATGATGATGGTTCATTTGCTGGCCCCCTCATGGCCGTATCTTCACAGGAACCAAATCCTGATGAAGACCCGGAAGATCACAAACAGCTGCTTCTAGTCTCTCAAGCTTCTAATGACGAGCACCAGGATATCTCTAAGCTGTCACAGATGAAAAGGAAGAAGAAGGTGGTGAAGAAGTGGAGAGAGGAATGGGCAGACACTTACAAATGGGCTTATGTAGACGTCAATGAGGGTACCACAAGGATCTTCTGTTCTGTGTGCAAGGAGTATGGTAGGAAGCACAGGAGAAATCCATACGGAAATGAGGGCAGTAGGAATATGCAAATGAGTGCGCTTGAAGAACATAATAACAGCTTGCTTCACAAGGAGGCTCTTCGGCTCCAGATGGCCTCTAAAGACAAGAGTCCCGTTATTGCTGAGAGACCTGTCTTTGTAAAAGGTCCGTGCTACATCTTATTTATATGGATTATCTTGATCAACTTCAAGATCACTTTATTTATGGTAAATTATTTTCTGATTTTTTTTTCTTGTTGTGGGTTTTTTGAAAGCTCTCATGTCAAAAACTGCTGGTTCCGTTGTTGGAGCGCTCCTCAGAAGGGATCCTAATGAACTCGAGTTTATTCAATCAGTACAGGAGGTTGTTCATTCTCTAGAACCTGTCCTAATCAAGAGCTCTCAGTAAGTTTCATTTAGAAGGATCAGACATATCTTTTTTCTTTCTTTCTTTTTTTCTAATGCTGGATATTTCTGTGGAGTAAGTTTGGTTTCGATTGATGATGTGGTATCGTTGTGTCAGCTGTGTGTTGTGTCAGTAAGTTTCCTTTAGAAGGATCAAACATATCTTTTTTTTCTTTTCTTTTTTTTCTAATGTTGGATATTGTTGTGTCAGCTACGCCCACATTTTGGAGCATATGTTGGAACCTGAAAGGATGATCCTCTTCAGAGTGCCATGGATTGATGACAAGGGAGAAACACATGTGAACAGGGGATTCCGCGTGCAATTCAGCCAAGTGTTGGGTCCCTGCAGGGGAGGTCTTCGTTTCTATCCAGGCATGAACCTGAGCATTGCCAAGTTTCTAGGCTTCGAGCAGGTAAAATATTTTCGTTATGGAACTGATAATTTGTACTACTTTTAATCTAATTTCGTGGGGCCTATCCCATTTTTGAAGTTGACCACAATGATATTTGTGTTAATAGGTGAATCATCTATATCTGCGTTAAGTTTTCTGCTTGGCTAGGTAGATGAGATGTTGTTACATCTCCATCAAGAACATTGTTGTGACTTTATAGCTCCTATTGCCTATCATGCGATCTATTACAAGCCGCTGCTAGGTTATCTCTCTCTGATTTTACTACGTAGAGAGAGAGAGAGAGAGAGAGAGAGAGAGAGAGAGAGAGAGAGAGAGTAACACATGAGAAGAAAAAACACTAACCTTGGTCAGACCCCGTAAAAGCCAACTTTTGACTTAGATATTAACTAATATGAGTCATCAATATTTGATTTCGAAGATGGAGTCTGAAGCAAACGCAGTTCAAGTGAAATAAATTACTGTCTTGAACCTTTGAAACCGAAAATGCAGACCAAGTATTTTAATGCTTTCTGATGCTAGGAATCGCGGTTAAAGACTGCAGAAGACATTGTTAACGATGCCACTGACCGTTTGAAGAGATGATTACTGTCTGACATAACATATGATGGCTAAATTATGCACATCAATACAGAACCTACATAGCATAAGACGGAAAGTTGTGGCAACCATTGTTTTAACAATTTTTTTTTGGTTCTTTCACTGGAAAATCAGGTCAAGAAGCAAAATGAATTTTGAGGTTCTTTGGCTTTTCAACAACTAACCCATTGTATTGTTCACTTTTGGGAATGAGCTCACCTGAACTTAGACCCACAAGAAGGAAGGAGACATATCACGAATTTTATTTAAATCTCCCAAAAATATAAGTACATAACATCCAAGTACTGGAGTGGCTCCTAAGATTTTCCCTTATTATCCATCTATTTATTTAGCATGTTTTATTGCTCGGCCAGTTTTCTATTTCCCTTTGGGGTATTGCCCTTCAGATTTCTACGTGTGCTGCCCTTTGACTAATTGGAGAAATGCATAATTTGTGAGTGCTAACTTTGAAAATGACATGCGGGGGAATTCTTATTCTATATATACATTCCTCAGACGTTAAAGAATGCTTTATCACCATACAAGCTTGGAGGTGCTGGAGGGGGAAGTGATTTTGATCCAAAAGGAAAAAGTGATAATGAGGTATCACCTTTTGTCTCCATTTTCTTTTTGTGGGGGAATACCACCCTGTCTGTATAAGAAGGTATATTTCAACAATTCAACTTGCTGGTGGCAGATCATGCGTTTTTGCCAGAGTTTTATGGATGAACTATATCGGCATTTGGGTCCAAATCAGGTAAAAATGAAAAAAACAGTCATTCTGTACTTCTTTGTGAATATGTGTAGAATTGACCTAGCTCAATGTGGCACTGAAATCTACAGTGCTTCTATCACTTATCATGCCCATTGTAGGATCTTCCAGCTGAGGATATGGGTGTGGGGCCAAGAGAAATGGGCTACCTCTTTGGACAGTATAGGAGGCTTGTTGGTCATTTCCAGGTACTTGTCATGTATTCAGGGAAATTTCACTGCCAGAGTAATTACTATAAATTATACTTGAAATCCCTTATTTTCGTAAGTTACTTTTACTGACAAGCTGAAGAGAGATGCTTTTAGATGTATTCCTAAGAAGAAACAAATCCTGCCTTCAATGCATCCTGATTTTTAAGTTTGATGACCGTATTTCATTATCTTATTATTAGAGAGCTCTAGGTTCTATCTGAGGACGACGGACACTCTACTTCTATTTTTAACATGGTGTAACTTAATAAAAATCATACTTATTCATTTTCCTGTGGTTTCGTTTAGAACCTAAATGATAAAATAATTTACACGAGAGAATCTCAGGGTGCCAAGAAACAACAAATTGATAATAAAATATATATTATTAATGGCAACGTAGAAGTAAACTTGGATGTTCTCAGTATATTCTTCATACATTTAATTTTGTTTGAAATTGAAACTATGATACTGAATGCTTTCTCTTCTCGTCTAGCGATTCCAGTCATATGGATGCATCAAAATAGTTGTTCCGTTAAATAAACTAGGATTTATTTTTAAAGACATTTGTTTACAGCCCTGATCCTTTTTTTTTGAGGTTTGGTTTCTATGGCCACATTATCCATGGGATGCAGCTTTTTCACAGGGGGATTTTGCTTCACGTGACATTTTGCATATTAAGCTGACTGGTACTAGTTTCAGTAGTGGACTTGGCGTTTAACATTTCCACAATGAAGGATCTGTCAGTTTACATAAGTCAGGGCTTAATCAGAGCAGTGGGTACCGAATTTCAACCAATGTTGTTTGACCTTACTCATATTCTTAACTGTCAAACTCTCAGTCCAATGCCAGGTCAGAGAACTGCCCTCGTCGCACATTGGTTATATGAGTGTCCTTCTGAACAGTACACTATATAAACACACGATGCAGCCTGTGGGAATGCCACAATTCTTACCCAAGCTAGTTTGTCAGAAAAATGGAAAATGAACATGCTAGTTAGTCAGCACTTATGGTGAATAGTGACTCAAGTCTTATGATTTGCGCCTAATATCTCTTTCATTGATAGTTTGGTTAAAAGAAACTTCAGTGTTTTTATTGTGCTTCTCAAATATACTCTTCCTGTGCATTTAAGTCATAGAAAATATTTTGATCTCTCTTGTTTAGATTTCATCGATATCCTTATGCAGGGAAGTTTTACAGGACCGAAGGTATTCTGGTCAGGTTCAAGTCTTCGAACTGAGGCCACTGGCTATGGATTGGTAACTTTTCTTTCAGACTAACCGCACTGTTTAGGTACTCTTTATGTGTGTGTGTGTGTGCGCGCGCGCGTCCGTGCATACCTATTCTAGGTTTGTCATTTATAGGGTGTTTCGTATGTCTACTATCCTGTTCAACTTTGTGACACTTGTCTTTCGATTTTTATTTTTTATTTTTCAGGTCTTCTTTGCACGTCTTATTCTTGCTGATATGAATAAAGAAATTAAAGGACTAAGGTTTGTTACTTTGCCTCATATTATTTACCAAAGTGATAAGGAAGTATTGAGGTTTATTGTTTTACCTAAGGATGAAAGAAATATCTAATAGTCTAAAAGCATCCTGAGACAAAGCAGAATTTTCTCAAAAAAGAACAAATAATGTGTTGGAATCAGATTAAGTCACTGATTCTTTCAGTCCCAATCACAGTATGTATATTATTATATTAAGCGGATAGAACTAACTAGTTGATCTCGAGTCATTCTTTTTCTTCTTCCTGTTCTTATTCCTATCCATTTATTCCTTATACTGGGAGCCTACCATAGTTAGATCATTCGACATTTTACCGCTCTGGTTCAATCCACCGGTAATCATTTGCTTTTTCGTTTTTGGCTGAAGCATCAGATTTTTGTAAAACTATTCAAAACCAATCTCAGCCTATTTAGAAGAACCAGCGAAATCTTCTATTTCAATTGCTTAAAATGAACTTAGCTACCCGAAAATCGTGCTATTGATCGCCAGAAGGCAGAAGGCAGTAAGGATTTAATATGGTGCTGTCTGAAAATGAGAAGGATATGCTAGATATTCGTAAAACTTGAAAACTTTAACAAGGATGGATGTTCCATGATGTAAAACAATTTGGGTTAAATTTGAAAGCAACCAGGATATTTGTTGCTTCTAAACTAAATTTTACATATATGGGGGGGTTAACTTCAGCGCTTTAATATGGATATTATTATTAGAGACCAGTACCTTGCAATTGTGCTAGTTCATACTAACAACATTGTTTAATGAGCGTGGTCAACGTCCTTATCTTCAGGTGTGCAGTTAGTGGTTCTGGCAAAATTGCTATGCACGTCATAGAAAAGCTTCTTTCTGTTGGGGCTATTCCCATCACAATATCAGGTAATTTTTTTGCTTTGACATACAAAATCACTGTACTGAAGGGAAAAACTTGCTATGCGAACGCAAGGAGATAAGTAAATGTTGAAATAATAAAATTTATAATTTTGGGAAAAATGTGCACAGTTCTTACCAGTATTCTGTATGTTTTTCTTCGGAAAAGATATCTCCACTTATGCTACCTAAAGAAGAGTTATTATAAAAGCGTCTGTACATTTTCTGAGCTATTCTTTGCTTAGGTAACTTGTATGATGCGTCATTCCTTCGCTTGTTTTTCCTGCATTAGATACTGAGTGCATGTCACAATGGAAAGTCGATGTGCTTAAGTATCTGGACGATGAAGTCTTCTAAAAATTCGGTTGATTTTTTGCAGCTAAAAGTCATGACACTGTTTATTTAATAAAATCTCTATGAGATACTTGAAATTTTCTTTGGGCTTCTCTTCCTGGTGTTACGTATGAATGCATAACTTCTAATAAACATCTGTTATCTATCAGATTCAAGGGGCTGCTTGATAGATGAAGAAGGTTTTGATTATGCAAAATTTTCAGTTCTAAGAGATATTAGGGTTCAACATAGAAGCCTGAGGTTTGTGCACATCTCTCTTGTTTTTTTTAACTGCCAGTTGATCTATAGACATATAACCATGAAAGATTGGGTTCATTTTCGCGTCTTTCAGAGATTATTTGAAGTCTTATGCTCGAGCTAAGTATGTGGAGGCTGCGAAGCCTTGGAATGAGCAATGCGATATTGCATTTCCATGCTCTATGCAAAATGAAATCGATCAAGCTGATGCTATTGGGCTGGTTAATTCGGGTTGTCGTATACTGGTGGAAGGTAGGAATATTTCCATAATCTCAGGCTTTTCATCTTCTTATTTTTTCTATATTATAGAATTTATACTCCTCCCAGGTTCGAATATGCCTTGTACTCCCCAGGCAGTTGACGTTTTAAGGAAAGGGAAGGTTCTGATAGCTCCAGCTAAGGTTGCAGGCATCGGAGGGGTACAACGTTTCCTTAAATTTGCAATAATAGAGTTATGACTTGTCTTTTTAGTGTTTTATATGCTTTCTGTTTGAGGTAGCTGGTCCCATATCTACTGCGGTTCAGAAAAATGCCATCAATTTGGGAAAAGTTTTAACTATAAATGTAATAGCTTAAAAATCTATGAGAGCTTTAAGAAATCTGTGTCATGTTGAAAATGAAAATGGTGATAACTAATAACATCAAATGTGGTGATTTTTAAGCTATGTTCAAATGAAAAGCGTGATAATTAATGACCGACTGCCATGCTAAATTTGAACATGGAAGAAAATAAATCACTTTGAAAAACTAATTCTTGATAAATTTTATTTAATTGACACTTAAAAGAAATGATGTAAGAATGTTGTTCATTGGTTTTTTTGTCTTTTGACATGCTCTTCTTTTTCAGTCATGTGTCACTCTTGTTTACCGTTGGTTTTCACCACTCTGAATACGATCAGCAGGTTGGAGTTGGAGAGGTAGATCTCAATCAGGAGCATGGCATATTACACTGGTCATCTGAAGATTTTGAAAATAAGTTACAGGTGCTTAATCTTCCCTTCTATGGTGCTTCGTCTTAGGCAAATCCCAATCTCCATATGGATCTTAAATACTTGTGCTTGACTTGCTATTGATGGCCAGAGATTGCATCAACTGAAATGCGGGACTGATTGATTGATTGATTGATTTATTTATTTATTTCCTGTTTTATATTGCGCATGGAAACTCGGCATTTCTAGTCTCCAGAAGTTAATCTAGATCCCTTTTTTCTGTGTTCATCCGACAGGAAATAATGAAGCAAACATATGAGAAGTGCCTTAAGACAGCGAACGATTATGGTTTTTCTAAAGATAATCCTGAGTAAGCTTTATTTCTTGAGAATTTTTTTTTTCACGTTGTTCTTGTAAATTGAGTGATATCATAGACCAGAATCCTTCAACCATGCCTTTTGGGTACTTCTGACTCTGATTATACACCCAATGTCCAAGAGGGAAATACCGTGATTTATCAGTTTTCATCTCCATATTAAAATGGACAGATTTCCTTATTTGGAGCACCAGATCTAGATCATTAGAACAAAAAAAATACTTATTTGTGCATGAAACCTTCAAAGCCAATCATCAATGGGTGGAAGAACTGGCTTTCTATTGACAATTATTCACTCACTTAGACTGTGTGTTCATGAAACATTCGAAGCCAATCATCAATGAGTGAAATGAGCCCATCGATACAATTTCGTGGTTTTCTTTTTTCTTTCAGAAATGGGCCGAAAGCAATCATAAACTCTGTTACCATGCTCAAGGATTGGATTATTTAACTCAGAATAAATTGGTAATGAGTAGAATGAGTAGATCAGACTCTATTGGTTCTCTCCAATGTGGATCGATTCTTACTTAGTAGCCATCAAGATGCTAGTTCTTGGGGTATGGAGCAGTATCTTTGAATTCTTCATTATTACCTGAGGATGATTAAAATTTGCCTTTAATATCGATAAATTCCAGATTGAGATTTATTACAATCGTTCTTTGGTGTGGAGTAGTGCCTTTAAATTCTGGATTACCACCCGAAGATGGCTAAATTGTGTTTTTTTATCATAAATAAATTCCATAATGGAATTATTATGCATGAGTATGAACACAATTAATCTAATAATTGTTCTTGGGTATGGCGCAGTGCCTTAAAATTCTGGATTACCTACCACCTGATTATGGATCAAAGTTCTACCCTTTTTAGCAATAAATGCCATATTAGAGCATATCACACAAAGCCTTTTTGGTAAAATCAATTGGTACTGATCCTCAGCCTATGGTTTCGAGATGAATGGCATGATTAAACTAAATAAATGATCTCGATTCGTTTGATTAAGGTTTGGTATTTGCTGCAGGGCCTTGGTTCATGGAGGGAATATATATGCCTTCCTGAATCTTGCTCAGACCATGAGTGATCAAGGATGCGTTTAGATCAGAGACCCAAGATCCAGTTCATTGATCCTGCTCAGGCCATGGATGATCAGAGGGTTTCAAGAGGTCCGCCACCATGTTTGCGGGCCATTTTGATTGTCAGGGACAAAGGTTCCTCCCCTCTTCTGGAATCTAATATGAGAAACGCTTCTCTCTCTCTCTCTCTCTAGAAAGAAAATGTAGTCTGTGGGTCAGTGCCAGCTGTACCTGAAATATATGTTCCTGGCTCAAAGGCCATTATTTTTTTCGGCTGGAGGTGCCTTAAATGTCAAAGCATGCAGCCTGATTGGGATCTGTGAATAAAGCCCATCATCATTCCCCCAGTGTTGACTTTATTTCTATATCCGTTGGACAGTTCTGATAAATATGGAGAGAGAGAGAGAGAGAGAGAGAGAGAGAGAGAGAGAGAGAGAGAGAGAGTATATTGAGACTAAATTTGCAAAATTTGGTAAAATTTGCAGACATTGGATTTAAGTTATGCATATGTGCAAATTTTTACTTGCAATTATAAATATTCATATGAAAAATGGTGCCAATGAGTCAGATAGCTAAGAAATTGGGCGCTATCAGCCTCAGCTCCGGCCCAATACCCATTAGCGAGTGAGTCCGATGTTGGCCCAATTCAGCCTACCCCCCACTCCACCCCCCACCCCCCCAAGAGGGAAGCTAAGCCAAGCTCATAAAATTAAATTATCAGAATAAAATAATCCACGTCAGTAATATATGCCCAATACGGTATTTATAAGTTTTAATAAAGGCATGCGGTTTTTTGGAAGATGGGATATACTCGTCATATTTCAAATTATTAAGGTGTTTTACGTCATTTAGTACGAGGCACGGGGCCAGGGGTATTAGGGTTTCTGGGATCCCTATAAGAACCGCCGCTTCAACCGTGAACGGGGCCTTCCGCTCTGGTAAAGCCCTCGCAAGTCGGAAGGGGACTGCGAAATCCATCTCGACGTGTTCCAGAGGTAGACGGCTCTGATCTCTCCTTCAAACTTTCTCCTCTGCTCATCTCTAATTAGATCTTCTTCTTCTTTCTTCTTTTTCGTCGTCTTGCTTGGCTTTTTTCTTTCCTCATTGAGATCTCCAGATGTGAACTATCGTTGATTTTTTTCCGTCATAAGATGCCTCTTTGTGGCGTTTCTTACTCGCTTGTTGTTGTACCGTCCGGCTCCTCCTCTGAAGTGCGTTTGGATTCATCTGCTGTATGGATTTCGTCGTTGATTTGAATGCAGTTTGAAATGGCTAGCGTCCCTGGGGAGCTCATTTGGGAGATCGTGAAGAGGAACAATGCGTTCCTCGTGAAGCAGTTTGGGAACGGCACTGCTAAAGTGCAGTTCAGCAAGGAGAGCAACAACCTCTACAACGTCAACTCATTTAAGCACTCTGGTATGCACATATTTCTCTCGTCCTGGCTACCCGGGGAACGATTTTCTTGAGGGGCGTGATGCTAAACTTGACTCGTTATTTCAGGCTTGGCTAACAAGAAGACGGTCGCCATTCAGCCCGGCAGCAAAGATCTCTCCGTTGTGCTTTCCACGACAAAGACGAAGAAGCAGTCCAAGCCAGCCAGTCTGTACAACAGATCAGTCTTGAAGAAGGAATTCCGTAAGATGACAAAGGCTGTTGTGAACCAGGTAAGAGGGATTCTCAACTCCCACCTTATTGTTGTCCTGCTTCGCATCTGTACGAGTCATTGTTGGTCCGTCCTCAGCTGAAGGCAGGACTTTTAATCCGTTTTTACTGGTGTACAACCGCGTAATGTTTTTCTCTTGTATCCTTGGCGGATTCGCTATGATGACGTGACACTGTTATCGGCAATATCAATCTGTGCTTGTTTTATTGTGTCGTTCCACTTTAACTTCTGCCATGAAAATCCTCTAACACGTAAGAAATGCCTTCCCAACGGTTGTTCTTCAATCAAATGCACTCGTTACTCTTGGCTTATGACGTTCTTTTCACTATTCATATGATTGATGTAAACTCTGCTGTCCATTGATCCGCGATATTTGATGGGTTTGGTAATTCGGAAGAACTGATCATGTATGGCATTCTTTTTATTATAATAAAATAGGAGAATACAAGCAAGTAGTTATTCAAAAAAGCTGCCTAAGTAAATTAATTACGAGACGTGGTAGACTTGTGAGCTCGAGAACTCCCCGGATTGATTGATATGCCTATTCTTGTTCTAGCATTTGTCCTGACGTCGGCGGTAGGTTTAGGACGAGTTTTTTTTTTCTTGTTGGCATGAAAGGTATGGTATCACTGTTATTTTTCATCAAAAAGTAAATGCTGTTTGCTAATGAGTTCCCTATGCTGTGATGAGGCTCTAACACGTAAGAAGATCCTCCTTAATGGAGGATCTTCAGTGAAATATACTTGTTACGCTTGGCTTCTGAGCTATTTTCCTTGAAAAAAATGCGCGATTTTAAGTTCTTTAGGTTCCCCAGATTGATTGATATGCATACGTTTTTGCAAATTTTTGTTGGCATTTTAAAGTATACCATTTGTTTTCCGTTTTGAAATAAATGTCGCTTGCTAATGAGTTCCCTATGCCATGATGAGCCTCTAACACGTAAGAAGGTCAACCTTAATGGAGGATCTTTAGTGAAATACTTGTTACGCTTGGCTTCTGAGCTCATTTTCCCTCAATAATCACAGAATTTTAGGTTCTTTAGGTTCAACACAACCTACGTCATCACTTTATTCTTCATATTTTATGATGACTTGCATCCAAATGGGTCTGTATTTATTTTATTAGGAAATCATTTACTCATGATCTCGATGAAATATTTTACCATAATCAGCATTTTATTGCACTCCATTCACTCCTAGTAAATTCAGCCAATTTAGTAAATATTTTATTGCACAGCATAATCAGCCAATTCAGATTTTCATTTAACTCCGTTAAAAGAAATAGTATTAATGTGTTCCCCTTGATCATCCCCAATCCAGGTTGCCGACAACTTCTACAGGCCAGACCTCAAGAACGCGGCCCTCGCGAGATTGAGCGCCGTTCACAGGAGCCTCAAGGTCACCAAGTCTGGCCCCAAGAAGAGGAACAGGCAGGCCCTAAAGGTGAAGCACTGAGGTCGCTGGCTCACCTACCCCACCCCTTCTCATATCCTGTTTGGTCAACGCCCCCACCCCCTCTCTTTTTTGTGGTGTCTGTTAGTGGATCTTGTCGCTCTCTCTGAGTTCAATCTCCTTTTCTGGAAAAAAATGTTGGAATTCTCTGAAACGTGGGCGAATTCTTCTCTTGAACCCTAATTCTATTCTCATCTGCTGAGGGATTAAGCAATTATTATTATTATTAGAAAAATCATCTCCTTTCCAGATTATGATTATTCTTTCTCAAATATTCTCAAGAAAAAATAATTGATGCGATTTTACTGGAAAAAATCATCTGCTTTCCGGATTATTATCATTGTTCCTGAAATATTCTACATAAACAGGTATCACTGTACAAATAAATTGATGCAATTGGACTGGAAAAATCATTTGCTTTCCAGATTATGGTTACCGTTTCTCAAATATTCTTAAGAAACAATTTCCAGTGCACAGAAAGAGTGATGCGATCAGATCAATTGAGGAAGGGTATTGAATTCAAATGTAGCTATCATCATCTCCTAGAATCATCAGTCGGGCCTCCCCGCCTGGAAGATCCGGAGAAGCTGCCGCTGAGCTGGCGGGCGTAGGAGACCACCGCCTTCGCCCACCTCCTGATCTCCCTCTTCACCTTCTCCGAGTCCAACTCCTTCAGGGGCCTCTTCTCCAAGGTCAGCTCCACCCCTGAGAACCACCTCTTCTTCCCTCCGCCGCCGCCGCCGCCGTTAGTCCTTCTAACGAGAGCCCTCTTCTCCCCCTCCATGATCGCTCATCCGGCGACCAGGAAGACGATCGCCGTCTCTTTTTATTAACCGCGGGCGTTGACCCGGATCCTCGTATATAAATCGTGTGGAAGATTGCCGATATGGAACGGCGGCGGTCCTCCACACGCGTCGTCTTAGAGGCGGCGGTGGAGGGGCAGCTATTTCTTGCAAGCCACGCCCGCCAGCGTCTCCCGTAATCCCGGAGTTATATTGGGACGTGACTTCTTAGGCTTATTTTATCTGGAGCACGAAATTACAAAAAAATTCACAGCGAATTTCTCTATCCTTGATTTTTATCTACGCCTTACAAAAATTTACCCATATTGGGCCTGATTATTTGGGCCGTTGATATGTCCCAAATTGGGCCTGTTTTTTTGACCCGTTGGGTTGGACCGGACCCGAAGAGGCGGCACTGGGTTGGACCGTCTGCCTCGTCGTCTGCTCATCTCGCTCGCCGATCGGGACATCGGCGGCGGCTGGCTGGCTGGCTGTCCGAGGCAGGAAGGGGAAGGAATCCCGAGTGTAACGAGCAAGGAGAGGGGCCGAAACTTATTACCGCTGCACGGTTTGTCCTCGGAGGAGTGCGGTGAGTTTCCGAGACTAGATTATGCTCTGGATGACACGAGATGCAAACTCTCCATTCATTCTGATCTTGCTCTCTCGATTGATCGTTTGATTTTTTTCCGTGGATCTTTGTAGAGGCGTTTGGTTACATTTATGATCGGCTGTTTTTTCTTTTTTTGCGACCGAGATTTTCTCGGACGATGCTCTTGAGGATTTTCGCTCGCGTTCCTCTATCTGGAATTAGTATCTTATAGCGTCTTTGTATTGGCGCAGAGATCGGAAAAACCTTTTCCCGAGGCCTTCGCGAGTGACGATGAACAAGCTTTTGGAGTTTGGAAGGAAAGCGTTGTTCATTGCGAGAGTCATTACTGGACAAGAAGAGAGAAGAATTAGGGCTCACAGATTGATGCTCCAGAAGCAGATGGAACAGGTATGATCTATCCCGTGTCGGATTTACTTCCAGATTGGGAAAATATAGGCCCGAACTAGTAGATATATAGATCGACAGCATAATCCGAATATCTTATTCCTTTTTTTTTCCGATTAGCTGCAGGGATTTATGGCACCATCGTAAGAACTTCCTTTCTCTTTCACAAATCGTAACATTTTTCCCCTTGATCACCATGCTTCATAGTACTACATTTGTTGGAAGTATCGACTTGGGTGGACAAAATATTTTTTCTAAATCGGTCCAGCCGCCAGTAGAGAAAATGATCAGTGATGATTAAACTGTTCCCAAGTTGTTACTTGTATCTGATGAAATGATTGATAAGAACACATGAAAACGCATGAACCTGCTTACGATACGACCAAAACGTTCGTTCCTAGAATTCAAGGCCGAGTGGCGGAGATGGCTGAAGATGATCCAAGTAAAAAGTTTTTAAATGAAATTTATCATAACATAAAACTTTAATAATTTTTTCATCTACGTTTCACATTTTATTCTAATCTCCTTTCGATACATTTGCATGAAATTCATTGTAAAGATTACTTCATTTGTCTCAGGACTCATCACGAAAACATGATCTGGGAATCGCACTAGATTCCTGTTTCATGTCATATTCTCTTCGATTTTCTTTTAATATATATATATATATATATTTAGTACTTTTCTGTAGATTTTAATCAACTTGAAATTCCAAAATTGCCTGGAATTGATAATTTCCTCATAAAATAGATTTTAACTGACAATCTTGTTCAAATATCACTGTTTTTATCTCCTCCTCATCTTCTTCATCTCGTCAGGCACAAGTAAGGAAGGAAGCTTTGAGAAGGATCCCCGAACAAGTCATTCTGGCTGAGGTCCGACGCATGGTGCAGGAGATGCAGACAGTTCTTCACAAATTTGAAGAAACGGTAAGCGATCTCAAACATCTTCTTGCAGCCATATCTTTCAAATCATGCATGAAATGTACTATCTGATGCATCATACCGATATCAAGCATTCATCTATGCGATTTCTCATCATCCAGCACCACCTACTGGCACTCGTACTGAATCTTTGTGGTTCTGTGAAGGGGATATCTCTGCATCTGCCGATCAGTACCTTCTCCTAACAATGCGCGTCTGCCTGCAGGAAGCTGCCATCGAGGAGTACCTGAAACCCTTCGACAAGAACGCCAAGATCATCATGAACATGCAGATGGAGAAGGAAGAAAAGAGCGCCAAGCAGATGCTGAAAGCCATGCATGAAGAGGCCGTTCTGAAGAAGTCTGAGCAAGAGAGAATAGTCAACCTCAATGACCCGACCGAGAGCCAGAAGGAGTCAGAATTCATTACCACGAGGGAAGAACGAAGCAGGTGATCTAACATGTGAGTATCTGCCCTCCTAGTTGACGATTTTGACTCAATAATACCCGGTGAATAGGTCAACGACCATTTTTTCTATTTAATGTCCATCGCCTGTACCAGTTCTTAAGAAATGAAAGTCAACGTTGGGATGGCTTCAATCATTTCTGTACCATATCTTTTGTTCTTGTTTGATCCGAGATAATTAGTCTGATTGAATCGGACTGAAACCCCGGACGAGTTTGATCTGTTTTTTTCTTCTAAATATCTGATTTTATGAAATTTGATGATCTACATAAATGTATATATTGAATCTTTTCTGAAATCTATGTTCATCCGAGTTCAGGTCCTGTTTTAGGACACAGACCCCTTTGCATCTGGGGAATGCATTCCGTGACTGGGGGATCCAGAATGTATTCTATGAGTTCCCTGGTTGGAATCCATAGTCAAAATTCATTCTTGGTTGTTGTTTTCTCCTCTTTCTGGGACAAGAATGATTCTTTATGGCCTCTAAAAATATTAGGCCTATTTACTCTCTTAATGATCCGTGGGCTTGGGCCTACTCGTGCATAAATGGGCCTCATGCTTCCAGCTGTTAGGCCTAACCGGACCTGCATTGATAGGCTCTGAACCCAGTCAGCCCATTAGGTCTGTTAATGGGGCCATTGACGGGGGCGCACCGTGGGATTTCGGCCCATCCAGCCCAAACTGCAGCCCGGCCGTTGTTAATGGGCCATTTACTTATTGGGCCCATTGACACCTGGGAAATTACTTTTGGCTTGCTTTATTTTTTAATATTCTATTTTTCGGCGCCGAAAATGTTCTAATTATAGGCATTAAATTTGGCGGTGTCCACGACCTGTTGACGGACAGTGGACTTCCAATCTAAGGTAACGTCTTTTAACGTCTTTTCCGTTAGTTGGCCCCACATCAAAGCCAGGCTGTAACCATTGGTGATCGGCGGGGGGAGGAGCCCAGTATAAAAAGTTCATCCTGGCCTTGTCTCTCTCCCCCCCCCCCCTCCCTCTGCCGGTATAAACTCAGGCAGATATCTTCTCGAAACCCTACTCTCTCTCGCTCTCTGTGGCCGCCGGACCTTCGGCATTCCTGACGCTTGTGAGGTGAAGGCAAGCTCCGGTAGAGGAGCGGAGATGGCAGCGGCGGCGGCGGCGTTTGGTGTTAGAGAGGTGGCGATCTCCCTGCTGGTGGCGGTCGTCTCCGCCGTCTTGCTCGCCGGAGAAGCATCCGCCGCCGATGCGCCCTCCCCGAGCCCCACAGTCGGATCCGCGACGCTCCTCCAAACCCCTGGAGTCGCGGTCCTCGTTGCCGGCGCAGCGTTCATGCTCGGATTCCTACACCGATGATTCGCGTCCTCCCGCCGATCTGATGTCTGGATCGGCCGGATTTTCTGCTCCGCTCCACTCTCATCTGCCGTATAGAGAGAGTGTTTTTTTCGTGATGTGTTTCCTACGTAAATTTTATCGTAGTAGGATTGATTTGATTTCCTCTGCATTTGTCTTTTCTTGGGTCCACTACTGTGCCGGTTGTCGCCGGCGTTCCTCCGGAAGAGGGACCTTCCATGTTAGGGTTTGCTCGTGGTTCTGAGGTGCCTTGATGAAATAAATAGAGACGAGTACCTTGGATTTGATGATTCTGATGTGACTATAATATTGTATTACATTCTGTATAGTCGTCCATTCATACGATGTAGTTTCTACTTCAGTTGTCTCTTATTATGATCGGATTCCCTTCTATCATCGTCATCTCTCTTATTATGCCTCTCTGATCGATCTGCGGACCTCTCGGGGGCTGTGATGACTGATTTTCTTCGCTAAGACCAGATCTTCATTATTTCTCCTTAGAACGGTTCTTTGGATCGTGAATTAGGCGGAAAAGTAGATTAATGTCAGGATCATGGCGGAGCCTCATAGCTTGGGAGTTGTAATCATAGCCAGCTCTTCACTTATGCTTTGTTCTCTCCCTCAAGAACATCCCCTCCTAGTCTGTTCTCGCTTTGCATACTGACCCCCATCCGCATCTGACTGTGCTTTTGCTCTAAATTTCTTGAGGACTTGAATGCATTTTTGACGATCAAGAACATTTCATCTGCCGGGGACCGTAGATCTTCTTCCTCTGATAATCTTTGCTCGCCACTGTCCGACCTCTCTCCCATCTTCTTGGGGGTATCTTAACGAGGTGGTCGAGGGGAAATCTCCCCGAGTTCGACTCCTGTTCCCACGCGGGTATTCCAAATATAGTAAGAAAGTTGACTGGGAAGGCTGCCAACTCGGCCTTCTAGTGGCGGGTTGAACGCCCTTTAAAACCTGTCAACCGAAACATTAGAAGGCATATCATATCACATTGGATAACCCTGGGTTATCCTTCATAGGCATGATTATTTAGTCCAACGATCTCACGTGGCATTAAAATTGCTGGGTCTACTCCCCGGGGTCAACCCTTCTGTAAGTCATGGCTCGGTTCCTACCCCACCTTCGGAAGGGGGTCAACCCCCCTCCCCCCAATAGAGGAAACAGCTCATTACCATCAACATCTCAACGGCTCTTATCATCTGGGAACATTATTTTCTGGAAGATAGAAAGTCAAACGAGCGTCTCTGAGATAGATAAGCTCCTGAGTAACCAGCTCCCAGACTCTCGGGATTATTCAGGCTAATCAATCATCTGGGAAAAAAAAACTAAAAATCTCATATTTATTTCGGTTCATCGATGGCAGCCATTTACGAAACCTGTTTAATATCGTCTATTAAGTCAAACAGTTACGAGGACAGTAATAACAGCGCCGACGAGATCCACAGCGCGCACTCGGAGGAGCTGATCAGCCGAGCTTCTCTTCAACGAGGCGGTCACGGTCAACGGGCAATCCCTCACAACTCGTCGTGAGCTTCCTTACGCGGCGTCGGCGGCGCAGCGGCGTCGGCGAGGTAATGGGCGGCGAGGGCGGCGTGGAGGGCGGCGCCGTAAGGGAGCGCCGCCTCGTCCAGGGTGAAGAATGGGGAGTGGCTCGGCGGCGGCGGCAGGGAGTCGTTCCTCATGCCGACGAAGAAGTAGAAGGCGGAGGGGACGGCTTCGGAGAAGAAGGCGAAATCCTCGGATCCCATGGTCAGCGAGCGGGTCCTCACATTCTGGGGGCCGATCATCTCCCCGGCAATCTTGGAGAAGCGCTCGTGGAGCTCTTCGCTGTTCAACGTCACCGGATAATAGGGCAGATCTTTTGCCTTGAAGTTAATCTCGGCTCTGCACCTCTGTACCGCCGCTTGCCCCTTTATCACCTACCGTCGCAACCAAGATCAGAAGAGGAAGAAACCCTAGAAGAAGAAGAAGAAGAAGAAGAAGAAGAAGACGATCTCTCTCTCTCTCTCTCTCTCTCTCTCTCTATTTGTCTTTAAGAGGGGAAGAAGAAGAAGGGTGAGGTTACCTCCTCTATCCGCTGCCGGAGCTGGGCGAAACTCTCCTTGGAGAAGGCCCTGAAGGTCCCGCCGATGGTCACCGAGTCCGGGATGACGTTGAACGCATCCCCCCCTTGGAACTTCGCTATCGTCACCACCTGCCCAACTCCATTTGCCCATAAGATCATCATCACCATCATCTCTCTCTCTCTAGAGAAAGAAAGATTTACGGGATTACTACTACCTGTGAGTCTAAGGGATCAGCCTCACGAGAAACCAGGTGTTGGAGGCTGACGATGACGTTGGAGGCGGCGAGGATGGGGTCGATGGTTTCCTGGGGAATGGCGGCGTGGCCGCCTTTGCCGCTGATGACGGCCTCGAAGAAGCCGCATCCGGCCAGTATGGGTCCCGCCCTCGAGGCCACCACGCCAACTGGGAGCGAGCCGTCCAGGTGGCATCCGAACATGGCCTCCACGTTCTCCACCCCCCCCTCGTCGATCATCCTCTTCGCGCCGCCTCCGCCCTCCTCGGCTGGCTGGAAGAGCAGAAGAACAGTGCCCTGTTTGGAGAGAAATAAATAAATAAATAAATAAATAAAAATAACCCAGAAAACCTCATTCAATTTGTTTTTTCCTCCCCCGGAAACAATTGCAGATTAAAATAATTCAATCATTAAAAAGGGTCCGTCGATCTTGCTGCAAATCATCTGATAATTAGAAAAAATCTCGTGATCCCGTTGACCGGCCATCTTCCACTCATATCCAGGCAGTTTTGCACTGGATGGCTGACCCCGTGGGTCAGCTGTGAAACGGGCACACCCGATAGAGTCGCTCACATGGATAGTGAAAAACGTCGACTTTTTCCACATTTGGAAAGATTCAGGGGATTATTTTGGAGAGAGAGAGAGAGGTCCTGCATTTTGAACGAATAAAGAAAAATTCGGGAATTAAAAATACTAATAATATTAATGAAGCATGGGTCCGATGCGCAGTATTTTTAGGCCTTTTTGACAATTTTTGTTCTCATTTTCTGATAATCTGTGCGGGAAAATGAAGCTATAAATCGTCTCTTCACCGGAAGAAATGGAAAATAAAATAAAGAAATTTAATCAGCAGAGGAGCCCCAGCAGGATTATTTTTCTCCATCAAATATGGTTTTCCATTCTGAAAACCAGATCACTACAGAGCAGGGGCTCAATTTCTCTTCCAAGATGATAAATAAATAAAAGTCACAGAGAGCCTTAGAACATGTGAAAGCCTGCCGAGGTGTCGACCAAACATACCCATTGAATAATAGCAACCAGAGGACAAAAAGTCAACCGAGGTGTCAACCAGACATACACATCGAATAATGTCCCGCCAAGGACTTGACAAGAGTTGACACCTGCCGGATACAAGTCAAAAATAGGAACGTGATTCTGACGGATATTAGCCTATATTTGAAGCTGACACGACCAAAACCTCTTGCTAACAAGAGATCCAAGCTGTCAAAAATAGCAAGTGCTAGCTTGTTAGCGAGTTAGACAAGCCGTTGACTTATTAAAGCAATTTCTGTCTAGTCTTTGCTCCTAGCCACAAGGCATACATTTGCTATTCCTTTTTTTCTTACCTCGTGCAACTGGGCAAGAACTCGCTCATGGTATAAAGATTTGAGAAGCACCACATGTAGGCTGAATTCAGGTCGGTTAGTGTCTTGGGATGACGATAATAGCCTACGGAGTTGACTTCGCATAGGGTTGACCAAACTATCCAAAATTCTTCATGTGATCTTGTGACTGCTTCTCATACTGATTCGTTGCACTTCCAACAGGAAGTCTTTTTACGAACCATCCTCACCCCAATGTCCACTACCCAGAAAAGACTTTGGATAGATCAAATAGAGCCTATGCTTGAAAAAAAAACTACCCTAGCAATTAGGGTATGGGCATAAAAACGACAGTGGTATGAACAATCTAGGCACTTGATTGACCAATCTACATCAAGAAGTAGACATGAAACCAGTGGCTATGGCGGCTTGTAAAAGCCCAAATCACAAGATCTATGAAAAGTGTCACCAAGAACATAGCAATATCACCCAACTAACGAAAGTACTGGGCCTCTCAGCGAGCAGCTACCCATCCGGGTCTCTGTTTGACATGCTGATCTGACTTTATTTTGACAACCAGGGCTTGAGATGATAGAATGTGGATTGCATCAAGAGATTACTGATAAAAGTGGCGCACAGTCAACCCTTGTTCCTCAAAGATCTGCAGACCGGAGCACCATGGTCAGCTCTGACCCATGTGTAAGAAATCCCTAAAGGCTGGAGATTTTACATTCTAATTGAGGGAAAGATCTTCATTCAACAGAAAGTCAACCACCACCTGAGATCTCAGGGGATTGCCCGCTGCGAAGAAGGACAGAGGATTTCTATGATGGTTATTCACATGCGCGGCTGCGTTGAAGTTGGGGATCCGTGTATGAGATATCTACAATCCGCGGCTGTCTTGATGGAGTACCATGGATGGCTCCTAGGAACGTCAACCTTTGACTTTCTCCCCCTGCCTTACCCACACTCTCTTCATCCAACACACAGAGGCACTCTTCGTTCCCCCAAAGGCATTCTCATCCCTAGACAGTTCCCTCATCCATCCTTTTCTGTAGCCGTTGACCGCCATCATCTTCCCACCTTAGATGAACAGAATCATCATGGCTAAGAATAAAACCCAGTGATGTTATTAGCTGGCACTAAATGTCAACTAAGACCATAAAAAAAACTGTCGCAATTGCCTGAAAAAAAAAAAAAACTGTTGGAACACGAGTCACATCATTCTCTAGATCTGACTCCTGAAGATCCCCACTTAATGAAGATACATATTAAACATTTATTAGCATTTGACTGAAAGATGGAGAGAGGAAGACGCCCTAAAAGGTCAAACAAGGAAGAATGTCAAACATTTCTCCATGGGGCGGACTCCAAGAATATTCCCCATGTAACCCATCTCAGAACAAGAAGGGGAGAGGAAGAAACCTCCTATTTTCAGGCTCAGAAACTCCAGCCGAGATCCAAAACTTTTCCCTCGGTGCAGATGCACAGAGATCTGGGGAGGATCGGCGAGGGGCTCGCCTGAGATCATGGTGACGAGAATGATCTATTCATTATAGAGAGCAAGAGAAAGGGGAGGCGGAAACCTGTAGATGCTCTTGTTGTTCTTTAAGAAGCTTTGCCGCTCCGAGCAGCATCGCCACGTGGCCGTCGTGCCCGCAGGCGTGCATCTTCCCCGGGACTTTGCTCTTGTGCTCCCACTCCAGACCCTCCTGCGGTTGATCCACGATAAATAAATAACAAAACGAATCGCAGTTTCCGAAGGAATCCCGGAGAGGAAGCAAGGAATCTGCAGGTGAAGAGGGGCTCGTCGACGACGGGTAACACTACCCCCGATTGCAGAATTCTCATGGCAGAGAAATCAAACCCGTGGAGGACCCGTGAATCGATGAATCTTCAGGCCATTAGAGAAAAGAAGAAAGGGTAGAAGACCATGAACGGAAGTATGATCGCAAGAAGAAGAAGAAGAAGAAGAAGAAGAAGAGAGGCGCAAGGGATCCGTCGGGAAGAAGAAAAAATCCACAACTGGGTCCAGAAAAAAGAAATCGAAGGAGATTCAGCAATCCGAACCTGCACAGCGAGGGCATCCATGTCGGCCCGCAGGGCCACAAAGGGGGGGCCGCCAGTGCCGACGGCTCCGACGACGCCGGTGACGGCGATGGGATGCTTGTAGGGGATACCCATGGCATCAAGCTCGTCTCTAATCAGCTTGCTGGTCTGGAACTCCTCGTACCCGAGCTCCGGGTTCTCATGAATTCTCCTTCTCACCCCAACCATCCATTCGAAGAGATCCTTCTCCTTTGCCCTCTCCAGAAATCCCACGCTGAAACGTTTACCCTCCAAGGCTCCTCTCGATTCGGGCAGATGGAAGAGGAAAACCATGAGCAGGACCCATCTGCCGGAGCCCATTCGCAGGTAGGGAATTTCTTCACCTGAGAGGACGAGCAGGGGAGGAGAAGTGGGCGACGACGGCCTACGGGAGTTTCCTCCGCCGAGGTGTGGGTTATACTTTAGGACAACGCGGCGGCGGAAGGCACGTGGTGTGGGGCGGAAAGGCAGACGAACTCCTCGAGGTACCCCACCGTCTCCGCGGTTGAGAGAGAGATAGAGGTTACTAACAACTGGAAACACTCCTACAGAGATACGGACGTCTTATCATCTCCATCGATGGGATGGGTCAGGACAGATTCGGATTCTCCCGCAAGCCTCCAACAATCGTTTTCTGAAAGCCCCCGCTTTCTCAAATTCTCAACTTCGGCCTCTGTAACAGGAGAATAGAGCTAGAGAGAGTGTGTGAAGGGGGGTGGGGTTCTACAGAATCGGATTCTCACCTGCCCCATTGACGAAACAAGACCTAGAAAATGAACCCATGCGGGAGAAAGAGAGAGAGTCGCTGTAGTCTAAGTCAATCCACGTGGGAAGCATGGACAATGGCGGCGCCGCCATTCACCGATTGGGCGACTGGATTCTCGGAAAAGGAGATCATCTACACGAATGATACGGCTCAACTATAGCGACCAGACGATCCCCACCGCGCCGCAGTAGCTTGATTCATCTCCTGCACCGACCACGGCCACTGACATCCGCCCCCCATTGCGGCGGCGGCGAAGACGGCGACAATTGAACAGTGCTTCTCAAACAGTTGACGTGTCTTGTTTTGGCCCTCTCTCCTCCCCCCCAAAGAGCGGTTCTTTTCTTGCATCGGCATTTCTGCGAGTAGTTGAAGAAAAACCACGTAATTCAGCTGACCAAACAACGGGAAGCTCCGACTGAGGCCTTAAAAACCTTAGCTGCCCATCACGTCAGCGACATTCATTGACCTTTCGCACATTTTCTAATCCTACATTTTCAACACGTTTCAGCTGCGCGGGCCATCCTCTCTGATCAACGGGAAGCTTCAACTGGGCCATAAAAATGCCAGCTGCTCATCCCACAGCGACACGCGTTGACATTTGGCACATCCACAACCCACCCACTCCGATCAAACAGGTAGAAGAAGGTGGGCACACGCTGAAAGAATCAAAGAGCAGAAATGGTTCCATCTGTTTGTGGATTTATGTCGGGTGAGTGATTCTCGATTCTTTTCTCCCAGGAAGAATTCTGAGCTGGAGACACCGTTGACATTCATCAGCAGGGAATCAAACACGATCATTCATCAGTTGGAAAGTTGGAAGAGAAATTCATCAAGGTGAACATTTGTTCCTAGACATTGATCGAAACTTGCTGTTCCTTCTATGTAAAAATGGGGGAATTATAGACAAAATCTGATGATTCTCCGAGAAGGAAGAGCAGTCAACGCCCGCCTACATTGACGAAGAACCATGCATCTTCGTCTACTTCTCGGATGAGTTGGGTCCCCGCTTCTTCCCGAATCCAACGACTGCGTGTTCAAAGGAGAAACGAGGGATTGGTTCAGATCTCTGACCAGTTTTACAGAAATCAAACGCACAACGGGATAAATCATAAGAAATATTCATGCATTCGGGGAAATAATCGCATCCCTGATGAATCATAATCACATGAATCATAATAATCTGTCCGAAGTAACACGAAACCTAGAAAGCACGATTAGAGAGAGACAGATCTCAGAAGAGTGGATAGATGGAGAAAGAGGGGGGAAATCATTTACCAGCGGTGACGAACCGACGGTTGTACTGCATTCGCTTGTGAGCCCTCCCCCGGGGCTTCTTCTTCTTGTCCTGCTTCGCAACCTTCGGCGTCTGCCCTCTGACCTTGCCGGCCCGTGCGAGAGAACCATGCACCTTTCCTGCGCATAAGGAATGGGAGCCGAAGCCAGTGAGGAAGGAGAAACACGCATCAGCAACCCTGATTCCAAAGGGAACAGCAGCGGGGATGCTCGGCTAGGAAGAAGGCAAGCTCACCCATGGTGGATCAGTTTCTAGGGTTTCCCGCCGAACTGCAAGACTTCCGCGAGAACGACGGCAGAAGAAGAAGAAGACGAAGAAGCAAACCCTAGCTCGACACTCCGTGTCACGTGTTGATCACGTGAGAACCGCTGAAAGCCAACGTATACCAATCTTGTGTCGCCACGTGTAATAGAAAACGTCTGAACTTCAAGCACATTAATCGAATTTGACGTAATTATTTCTCATTACATTTTTTTATAATCCGCAAATGGAAATTCAGAAAATAACCCCAAATAATTATTTGGACCCAATAATGGAAATAACCCGTGTATAAGTTATTATTATTATTATGCGACTTATTATCAGATAATCTTCTGGCCGTCAGCATGCTTCATCGCTGGGTAAGAACACAAACAGGTTTTCTAAGCTCTGAAGAAGATCTGATTTTTACAGGGGATTGGTTGGTCAAACTCGGAGCACAGATGGAGCTGACGACGATCGAGCTCAGGATGTGAAGGCCTGACCTGCTGGTGAGCTCCTACAGAGGGTCGTAGTGCTGCCTTTCCTTCTGAATGGACTGGAAGATCCTCACCGCCGACTCGGACGCTGACTTTGGGTTGTGGGGAACGACCTTGATGACCCGGGCCAGGCCGCGGGATGGGTCAACGACGGGGGTGATCGCCGGCGGGAGCGGCGGAGTTCCACCGGCGGCGCTGCTGGCTGTGCTCGACTGTAGTTCGCTCCTCTGGTTCGACCTGTTTGAGGAGGTCAACGGCCGCTGCTCGAGATGTCGCCGCCAGTGGAAGGAACCCGCTTGATCGACCATAGAACCGGAGACGGAGGGGGTCGCCGGCGGGAGCCCGTACGGCGCCGCCATGAAACCTGGGGGAACGGCGCCGCCGAGGTAGGGCGAGCTCGTGAAGTCTCCACCGTAGACGGGAGGAGGAGCCATGAAGGCGGCGGCCGGGGGGCAGCCGCCGGCGAAGGGCTTGTAGATGAGCCCCTCCGTCGGCGACATCACCGGAACCAGCCACTGGTTCCCGGGAAGTTGGAGAAACCATGGGCCTGGTTTGCTCTCAGAAGCTGCAGGGGCAGAAGGCGGCGGCCCATCTCTGTGCAGCTCGCCGGCGGTGGTTTCTCCGCCGCCGCTGCCGTTGCTGCCGTCGTCCTCCTCCGTCCGGTCGCCATTGTCGCCGTTGACCCTGGAGGGTTCGTCCTCCTCCTCCCCCACCTCCTCCTCCCTGGGGAACGGTTTTTGGCCACCTTTGACAGAGGAGTCCGCAGGTTTATCCTTCGCAGACGCCATGAGAGTCGAAGATCCGTGGAAAGAGGAGGGGTCTTCGAGCAGCAGCTGCGGGGATGCGGCGAGCAGTTTCTGAACCTGCGAAGAAGAGAAGCGACGGCCACTGGCTTAGCACGTTTCACACCAGATTCATGAGGCTTAGAACAGTGAAAATCTGAGGAAGAACAGCTCACTTTCATCAACTTGTGCAGTTCGAATACTTGCAACGCAAAAACCCTCTGTTGGCTGCAATCATTCACAGGAAAACAACATGAGCCTTCATGTTCATACTCTCTCTCTCTCTCTCTCTCTCGATATATATATATACATATATATCGCAGTCAGCAAGGTTATAGCTATAACCAATCGAAAATTTTGCTATAATTCAGTGTTTCAGGTAACTATCTTGGAAGAGAAAAGGGCTGAAACTATTGAATATATATAAAAAAAACGAATATACTTTTTTGCAGTTATGTGCCTGGCCTACTGCCAATGCACAAGTCAAAGAATCTGGAGGTGAGAGATCATCTCATTGTTCAAAAAAAAAAAAAAAAAAACATGGTAACGCCACTTATTATTTTCCCTGGGGGGGGAAATAAGGGGATGGGAGTTTGACTTGGGGAAAGTCAAAAGGTTACGAATAAGGAGAAGGGAGTGACAAATGTCAACTACACAGGACTGTAAGACCTTTTTTTGTGTTTTTTTTTTCTGCGTCAATTTAAAAGTGGAGAGAGATTAGAAGAAAACAGTAATTGTTTCAATTAAAAATTCATACAGCACCAGCATCCCAATCTTCTTTTTTCAATCATATTTTATAAATATAAATGCATAATCATAAATAAAAAATATTCATTTTATTTAGATTGACTAACAAGAAAAGTTAAGCAATGCCCCGGCATTCTACTCAATTTCTTCTAACATGTTACGATCTTCAAGAGCTCATATCAATTGTTTCTAAAAGGTGAGTAGCGAGGAAATAAATACCTAAACTTTATGCAGAAACCACAAAAATCTAGCGCAGAAGATATCAGAATTTCCATAATCAGGTAAAAGAAAAGATGAACAGACTAGATACGTACTTGATGATGGCCCTCCTGGCTTTCCAAAAGTGCTTTGGGCCGATCACCCCGGCCACATTGTCAGGAGATATGTTTGCTCCTGCTACAGAATCCGCCATCGATGTCTCAGAGACATCGCCGGTCCTGATAGCATGTCTTGGGGAGCCATCTTTGGCCGCGTCCCTCGATGAACTGATCTTAGCTGGGGATCCTGATGAGCCGCTTCTCTCGGCATCTTCACCCACCACTCTGTCCTCACCAGCTGGGACCCTCACAGAAGACCTGCCATGAAGAGACCCAATCTCGCTCAATTTTCCTCCTTGATGATCCGGGTTGGAAGATGTCACGGAGGGGCCAGATGGGTGGGTGTTAGTTCCTCTGGTTACTGGATGTGGGATGCTCTCGATGCTCTTAGTTTCCCCTGAGATATCACCTTCTCTTGTGTCTCCATTGTTGCCCTTTCCGAGCTTTTGGAGAGGACCCGGAGAGCCATTCTGGGCTCTGTCCGAGGATCTGAAGGCAGAGGGGTGGGTGTTAGTTCCTCTGGTTACTGGATGTGGGATGCTCTCGATGCTCTTAGTTTCCCCTGAGATATCACCTTCTCTTGTGTCTCCATTGTTGCCCTTTCCGAGCTTTTGGAGAGGACCCGGAGAGCCATTCTGGGCTCTGTCCGAGGATCTGAAGGCAGAGGGTCCATTTTTATGTGAGCTGCTCGAATGGGACCAAGGGTTTGACTCTTTGTCTGCCAGGTGGCGGTCTCTGTTAGAACTCGGGTCAACTCCACGCTGAACATATATCGGCACCTGGAAATCATCCTCATCTTCCTGTTTCTCCGCTGAAGATTGCCTCACGCTGGGCATGACACGTGGCAGCGGGGAGCTACACTCACCGCTCACCGTTCCCCGGGACGCAGCAGGCTTCGAAGGCCTCCTCTGAAACCCCATTTTCATGGCGTCTGGATGCGATCCCTCTGTAGAAAAAGCTTGATCTTGAGCTCGCTCTGTCGCATGAGAGGGCATGTGGGGATGCAGGTAGAAGGAAGAAGACACGCTCCTCTCATTCCCACAACCCTGCAGCCAAAAATGACTCTGATTAATCAAAGTGCAAAGCATACCCCAAAGAGTAATTTACTAACATATTGTATAGTGTTATGAATTTATTCTAATGCAATAAAATAGAATGCCCAGATGATTTTTTTGCAGAAAAAATTCTAACTTTAGAAAGTGTTCTTTCCTCTACCTGCCGATAGAAACAGATTATGATTATTTTCTTTGCCAAAAGAAATCTATTAACGGTAATAATTTAATTTTTTTTGCATTTAATTCCAAGCAAACGAAGAGATTCTCGCTCCCCCATAGGAAGCTGGAAGGGCGGAAAGCAGCTTGAACCTGTGGAGATGATGGAGAAGAGGCCTTCAACAGGGCCCCGAAGGAGATTTCCCAAAGTCCTGGAGATCAACAGAGATGGATAAGGCAGCAGCATCAAACTTTTGGCAGTAGGAGACATGATTTTGTGCTCCGTTCCTCTCTCCATCATCCGTAAATTCATCCATTCCCTGCTGTGTAAGGAATCCATGGGCCGCCGACAAGAACATAGATGGGTTTGCTACGGCTAATACGTATGCCTGAATGGGAAATTTTGTCTGGAAATGGCAGAATCAGGCGACTGGGAAATCTCTGGTAGGCAAAACTGCGATTCGAAGAGGGGAGATCAGAGGGCGTATGAGCTCAAGACCCACTGACCTGGCTCGAGGAGATGGAAGGGACCAAGCTGCTCCCATGGTGAGGGGGAAACGGCAGTGTGGAGGAAGAGCTCGAGGAGAATCGCTGGGAAGGGATGCTGAACTGCTCGTAGAGGGCCATCTTGTTCCTCGGCGGCGCCCGTGGACCCCCTTTGTCGGCGTCGTTGACGTGGAGCCTGGGGAACAGAGGACCCGCCACCTTGTCTTCCTCTCTCGCCCTCTTCATCTCCTCTTCCACTTTCCCTGCAAAGCTCACCGCAGAGACCCCACTGGAGGACTCACCGGGCGGCGGAGATGGAGGGCGCCGCCGCTGCCAAATCTCATCCCCGGCGACCCCAAAGACCACACGAATCGGGTTCCCTAATCCTCGCGGAAAAGAGGAAAGGATACCCGGAAATGGAGCTCGCTTCGAAGGGGATTTCCCGATTTGCAGCGAATCGCAAAGAATTTTGGGGGATTTCTTGGATGCCCAGAAGCGGCGACTCCGGATTCTCTGCGCCGGCGGATTGGAGCCCCGACCTGCGCCGAAATCTGTGGAGAGACGACCCAGAAGAAGCTTACCCGCAAAATCCCTATCAGCAGCAGCAGCAGCGGCAGCGGCAGCGGAGGGAACAACACGCACAAGGGAGGATCAATAGGCCAAACCGGAGAAGGCGGCGGTGATGAAATATCTCAGAGGGAAGCAGGTGGGGCCACTAAGGACACCGCGATAGATAGACACCGGAAAGTGCAACCCAGCACCGCATCGCCACACACCACACGTCTGGTGTGCTGACTCATAGCGAGAGAGAGAGGGATCCTCATCCGTAGGCGAGGAGAGAGAATGGGGACGGAAAAAGTGCTGCTTGTGGGGTCCCCCATTCGGGAAGCCAATCCAGCACGAAGAAGATGATACAAACCAGTCAATAAATCCTTATTTTACGTGCCTCTTAAAATTTTCACGGGTTCACATCCTTGGACGCGAAACCCCCCCCAATAAATTTGAATATTATTTTCACCCAAAAAGAGGAAGCAATAGTAACTATGCCCTCCTCGAGAGAAGACTTGTGGTCGCCGTTGATTCCCCTAGGCAGGGGTTTTTCTGTAATTTTATAATGTTAACTTTTAAACAATTTATCGGATTAATAAACCGCCGATGATCTATTCTATCAATTTATCCGAATATATCTTCCATTTTTCATGGTTCTTTATATAATTTATAAGTATTCTATCACAAAATCATTATATTTTAAAAAATAAAAAAAAGCTGAGTAAGCCTTGGAACGTTGTAAAACTCTGGGTTATTATAGATTTCTGTCTCGAAATCAATCTCATCCCGTCACCGGGTAAACCGGCCATTCGATTTCAGATATTTTCTATTATTAGAATATCAAAATAATCATAAAAAGTCAACACCCGTACAATATGCATACCCATCGTTTTACTTTCAGCTTGAAATCTGTTACAAAGAAAACTAGTCTCAAAGTCAACCCAAAAGCTTTGTGGGCAAGTTGAGCGGCTCCATCTCGTCGGCTTGAGAGAGAGAGAGAGAGAGAGAGAGGGAGAGAGCACTGAACCGTGAAGAAATTACCTGGCTCTGCATCTCATACAGAAAATACATCTACAGGGCGGATTACATTCCGTTGACCTGGAGATTATTTGGTAAAATATCAGAGAGTGTGAGGCAGAGAACAGGATGGATGCATAAAGTCAAAAGAGTAGACTTTTGCCATTTGATCCGCGAGAAGGAGGATAGACTTTAAAGATAACTAGCTTCCTGCTACAGAGGTTGGTTGAAGAGGCCTTCCAGGCTTAGGCCCAAATAACTTGGATGACTCAACGCTTCAACTTCCTCTCTCTCTCTTCCACAGCCCACTGAGCCTCCAGCTTTCCAGGAAGGAAACCGGAAATACTTCACGGGCTCTACGCCCGTAGGGTTGACTTTTTTTGTTACAAAATATGGACAAAAATAACCAAGACAACAAATGAAGATGGGCTGGGCCAATAAATATTGGGCCAACTTTTAGCTTTGGCAAGGCCCAGACTGGAGTGAATGGCACATAGAAAACGGGGTATGTGCCAATCAAGAAAGAAAGCACTATTAATTTTAGGTTCAACTTTTGGGGGGTGAAAGCCCATTGGATTGCTCTATTTGGGCTTAACTTTTAGGCAAGTGGCCCGATAAACTTTGGACCGGTCTCCGAAAATGCTCCGCCCTCGGCCCCGTTTAATATGAAATGGCGGCCCGGTATGGAGTAACACGCTGCTGTCACGTAGTTTCATGAGAGGATCAATAGAGAACGTAGAGATATGTACTGAGAGTAGCGCACGTCAGACAGAGACAGATGCATAGTTGGTGATGTGTCCGCATGGGTGCCCACTAGATTCACCGCCGGGGACGGGATGGGTGCGTGGAGCGGAAGGAATGGGCAGGATTTCTGTTGGCAAGCGGGGTCCCCAGTAAGTGTTTGGATTGGGGACGAAGAGGGAGTGGGCTTCTTCTTTCTTCTTCTTCTTCCTCTTCCCTCGCGCGCAACAGAGTTGGAGGAGGGGTGCCGTTGGGTGTCTCTCTGGTTCAGAGCTTCGTCCACCCCCCTCGGGCCTTCTACCCATTTCATAATCTCCGCCGAAGTTTCGCTCCTGTGGTCACCTTTGGAGCCTCTCCTCTCCTTCCAAGGAGTAGAGGAGGGAGGGGGAAGAGGAGGTGGGGGTGAGGGAGATGGACGGAGAACTCAGGAGCAGGTTCAAGAGCGTCTGCGTCTTCTGCGGAAGCAACTCTGGGAACAGGAGCGTCTTCAGCGAGGCTGCTCTTGAGCTGGGTCACGAGCTGGTCTTCTCCTCTCGCCTCGTGCTTCTTACTTTCTGGGTGTTCTCTTTATTTTTTTTTCTGAGAAATTCGATCAAAACGGTGTGAATGGATTGATTTTGGAGGATGGGTTCCGGCTCAGTCGTCGATTTGATGTGGGTTTATTGTTATTGAAATCGCGTCTTCTGTCATTCGTATGACAGGTAAGAAGAAGGATTAACCTGGTCTATGGAGGGGGAAGCGTTGGTTTGATGGGTTTGATCTCACAGACGGTCCACAATGGAGGTTTCCATGTTCTTGGGTAAGAAACAATTGGGAGACGGGGACAATAATTTCATATCCTATTTAATTATTTATGCATATTCATTATCTGTTGTTGAACTCTCTCTCTCTCTCTCTCTCCAACAATCTACGCAGGGTAATTCCAACCGCGCTGATGCCTCTTGAGGTGTGCTCGTGCTCCATTGTCGACTGTTCTTCCTCTAATTATGTCCGGGTGAATGAATCTTTTGCGTCACATTATTTTCCGACAAACTAAAAAAAAACCCTGAAATTTCCCGGATATTTTATTTTTCAAATATTTTCAATGAAAAGTGACCTTATTATCTCAAGCATATGACATCAGTGCTTTATTCAAATTATACATCCCCATTCATTATTTTCGCCTGAGGTGTGCTCCTAGTTCTTTGCCGAATGCTCTTCCTCTGTTTGGACTGGATGAGTATTTCTCCTCATATTATTTATCGATTAAATAATAAAAACTATCTAATTTTCCTCATAAGTTTTTTTTCCAGTCTTCTCAGTTGGAAGTGACTTTAATGTATCAAGAATGTTCCATTGAAATCCCAGAGCCTAATCCGACCTATGGTGCTTGAGAAACTGGCATTCGAACACTCAAAACTCATTAAATGGAGAATTATCGTCTAGTGAGTAACAATTAAGTACCATAATTGCCTCAATATTTGCAGATTTCCGGTGAAACTGTGGGCGAAGTCAGGACTGTCACTGACATGCACGAGCGCAAGGCTGAAATGGCCAGGCAATCCGATGCTTTCATCGCCCTTCCTGGTTAGGCTTCCACTGGCCTTCATTCATATCTTAAGTAAGATTTTTTATTTACTTTATTTGCAATGATAAAGTCTCCGAATGGTTGGTTATTTCTTGAGATCCGAAGGAGGCTACGGAACAATGGAAGAACTACTAGAGATGATAACGTGGGCTCAGCTTGGGATTCATAATAAACCAGTGAGTAATTCAGCTCTTGAATTTCTTGTTGCGGCCACTTTTGACTTTAGACAGAAAAAATTGATGATCTTTTGCCGATGGATTCATAGGTTGGTCTATTAAATGTTGATGGGTACTACGATTCTCTGCTCGCATTATTTGATAACGGGGTGGAGGAGGGCTTCATCAATCCAACAGCCAGGAACATTATTGTTTCAGCTCCAACAGCCCAAGAACTGCTGACGAAGATGGAGGTAATCATTTCCTTTTATGGCATCAATTGATGGTCCAAAAGTGCTCCAAACTTGTAATTTGTGTATTTGATACGTTCTTCAGCAGTTTAATCCGTCTCGTCTGATTTTCTAAACACCATAATCGGGGTATCTTGCATGTTCTTCAGCAATATGCTCTGTCGTATTTGAGTTTCTAAACATCATAATTTGAATTTTTTTACAAGTTCTTCAGGAATTTACTCCATTTCGTTTGATATCTCTAAGCTTCTTTGATTTGGGTATTTTTTATGTTCTTCAGCAATGTTCTCTGGGTCGTCTTATTTTCTTACGTAATAACTTGGGTGTTTCATAAGCTTTTCAGCAATAAACTATTCGTCTGATCTTCGAAGCTCGATAATTTTCGGTTTTTTTTTCATTTGTTCATCAGTGATACAAATCGTCTCGTTTGATCTTCTAAACTTGGTAACCTTTGTGTTTGATATGTTTTTCAGCAATACACTCCATCTCATGAGCAAGTCGTCCCCAGTAAGAGCTGGGAGATTTCTCGCCTCGGCTACACCTCCTGAGCGGGAGGCCAAGGTGGAGTCAGTTCTTCGGGTGTTCTTGGCGATTTATGTGTGGATCCTTCGTGTTGCGCGTGATCATCCGTCTGAACTTGTGTTGATTGGTCGAATCTGATGAAACAACTCGTCAGAATGCCCATTGCTGGAAACCAGATGTTGAGCTAAATCATGCTGGTTTCAGCATATGGTGGTTCACAAACCTGATGTTTTTTTATCCTCTTTTCATTGAATCCTTCTCTCTGATACTGGCGCACTGAAGAGAGAGAGAGAGAGAGAGAGATGGGCTTGAACAAGTTATTATTTCCATGGCGATTGAAGATGTCAATATGACCAGGACAGATGAAGCAGCTCGTCGTTGAAGAAGAGCAGATGACCTGGTGTGTGTGTGTGTGTGAGAGAGAGAGAGAGAGAGAGAGACGAAACCGTGGCCGCTCTTCTTCTTCCTTCGAGCTGGCTTCAAATTGGCAGGCCATTACTTGCTGTCGATATGCCGAGACCAGGAATCTACACGGTGAAAGCGTTCGAGCAGCCTTCTGTTGCCGCTGCCAGTGGGGAGAGCACGAATTCCACGCACGGTGCAGAATTTTCCCTCAAGATTCCATATTCGACGGCGGGGAAGCGCCCGCCATGGCCCCCAGTAGCAGTTCAGAGCCCTCCCCGTCTTTTTCCTAGGTTGATAGAAAGATATGGAGCGAGAGAGAGAGAGAGAGAGAGAGAGAGAGAGAGAGGTTATTGTCCGCAAGTTCGTAGATGCTGGAAGGAGAAGAAAGTCGGCCCCCCCAGGAATCTTCTAGGCACCAGTGAGGAGCACCGCCATGGGCGACGAAGTGACGGCACCGGCTTCTCCATAGAACCCTCAACGGGGCCTCTTCTAATACCAGTCGTTCTTTTCTTCACCATCCCGGAAGACCCGCATGCAAGTTGCGGTATCTCCACAGCAATATTCTCCCTCCTTCTTCTCTATATAGACCCCATCTTCACCTCTCTCTCTTCTGCAACACAACCCTTCTCCCCATCCTCTCTCTACTCTCTGTCCATATGTCCATGGGGGCCATAGTGGGGACTTTGCTGTGGCCATCGGCGGCTTGTCTCAGTGCCTTGGGGCTCTTGCTGGTTGTGTTTGGGATCTACTTCTACGCTCCGTACTGGAAGGTGAGGAAGGTGCCGGGGCCTCCTGTCGGCTTCCTCGTGGGGCATCTCCCTCTGCTGGCCAAGAGCGGCCCGGATATCTTCAGGGCGCTCGCCGAGGAGTACGGCCCGATCTACAGGTATCTCCTCTCCCTGGCTGCCCATCGCCGCCATTGATGGCGGCTCTGGAGCTCCAAGAAGGCAGTCTCTTTCTTTCTTCCTGTCGAACTCATGTTTTGACGTCCGTTTTGGCTCGGGTGCTTGGTAGTTGACCAGCGAGAGGAGATTATATCATCGGCTTTTCATGAAATGCACAGTTTTTATGGGAAAACGACGCACATCGATTTAGAAAAAAAAGTGTATTTTTGTGCATCGCCGCCATTGACGGCGGCTCTCGAGCTCCAGGAAGGTAGTCTCTTTCTTCCTGCCGAACTCATGCTTTGACGTCGGCTTTGACTCGGGTGCTCGATAGTTGACCTGCGAGGGGAGAATATTTTATCGATTTTTCACGAAATAAACGGTTTTCACGGGAAAACGACCCACGTCAATTTATAAAAAAAAGTGTCTTTTTTTGGAAAGATGACGGATAGTTGACCAAGATTATCGAGCTATCTATTAGAACAGAGAGTAAGCCCCTACGATCTGACGGAATGGATTCTCTCCGTGGCTGCAGATTCCAAATGGGAAGGCAGCCGCTCGTGATAGTCGCCGACCCGGAGCTCTGCAGAGAAGTCGGAATAAAGAAGTTCAAGGACATCATGAACCGGAGCAAGCCTTCTCCTACCTCTGGATCTCCCATCCATGAGAAAGGGCTCTTCCTATCCAGGCACTCTTCTTCTTCTTGGTCTCGAGAAACTTGTTCTTCCTCTCCGTGTTCGTGGGATTTCTTCATGTTTCTCCCTATCATGGCATTCTTCTTCTTCTTCTTCTGGTTCAGAAACTTTTTCTTCCTCTTCGTGTTCGTGGGATTTCTTCATGGTTCTTCCTATCCTGGAACTCTCCGTCTTCCAGCTCCCCTTCTTGTTCTTTTTTCTCGTTCTTCAGAAACTTGTTCTTCTTCTTCTTCAATTTTGGGACATTTCTTCATGGTTCTTCTCTGGGGGCGTTCTCAGGGATTCGAGGTGGTCGTCCATGAGAAATACGATAGTTCCCTGCTATCAGCCCACCCACCTCGCCAGTCTCGTTCCTACCATGCAATTCTTCGTCGAGTCTGCGACCCGCTCCCTCTCCGGCGAAGAAGAAGTCAACTTCTCTCACCTCTCCCTGAAGATGGCGATTGACATCGTCGGAAAGACGGCCTTTGGCTTTGACTTTGGCCTCTCCCGAGAGGCTCCTTCCGGCGGCGGCGGCGGCAGCGGTGCCGACGAGGCTTCCTCCTTCCTCAAGCAGCATATCTACTCCACGGATTCCCTCAAGATGGACCTCTCAGGCTCCTTCTCCACGATTCTCGGACTCGTCGCGCCGCTTCTCCAGCCGCCGTTCAGGTGGCTACTGGGAAAGATCCCATGGACGGCCGATTATCAGATGCGTTGCACCACCGAGAAGCTCACAGAGGTGATCCGGCAGGTGGTGGAGAAGAGGTCCGGCGATGGCGGTGCAGAGTTGCCGGACGTCCTGGCGGCGATATTGAGAGCCAGGAAGAAGTCGCCGGCGAGGGAGCTCTTCAGCTCGGACTACTTAAGCGCGCTCGCCTTCGAGCACCTCATCGCCGGCTCCGCCACCACTTCCTTCACCCTGAGCTCGGTGGTCTACTTGGTCTCCAAGCACCGGAAGGTGGAGAGGAAGCTCCTGGCAGAGATCGACGCCTTCGCCGCCCTCGGGAGATCTCCTACCGCCGACGACCTCAGCTGCATGTTTCCTTACCTCGATCAGGCATGCTTCTCAGCAATCGGTCTCTTCTAATTTGTCTTAAGATGAGTTCTATGCTGGTAATCAATATATCAAATTCGGTAACGAAATATAATAGTTTCACTTTATTATTATTGTTATCAACATCATCAAAATGTCAATTTTTTTCCTAATATGGCATTTTGCACCTTATGATTATCATCATTAACCATTCAAAAACTTGTACATAGAGTTGAATATTGATTCAATATTTTTTTTTTAACTCATCAATCTATTGAAGAGATTAGTTTCCTTCTGGTGATGATGGGCAGGTGGTGAAGGAGGCCATGAGATTCTACACGGTCTCTCCTTTGGTGGCGAGGGAGACCTCTCAACAGGTTCAGATAGGAGGTTATACCCTACCCAAGGTAATCGGCCTTTGTGAATCTTGGCAAGATGAGAAAAATAAAGATAAAAATGGGTTATTTATTTGGAAAAAAGACTGGAATTTTTATCTCGAATGCTTCTTCATAAAAATAGCACCTTTCAGCAAATGCCACCTGGCATGAACCTATGGTACGAGTTTTTCACTTGGACATATATGTGGTGAATTTTACCAAAGTTAAATGGCCTCAATATTGTTACCTTCAAGAATATTGAGATTAGCGAATTCGTTGCTTTCTTACTGAAACTAATGATTGCGCTACTGTTCTTCAAGACACATGGAAGCGCTCTTTCATCCATCAAACGTGATACTATTATATTTGCATAATCAAACACACGATTGTGGTATATCTTGATAAAATCAAATGATAGTATTATTTCCAAAAAATGAAATATTTTTTTTATTTTACTAGAAAAATAACAAAAATAAATGTCATTAGTAATGTGATCATCATCATCATCATCGTCAAATCGTCGATTACCATGAAATTAATACATATGTTTTATAAATCTAATCGACCCGGTATCCTCTAAAAAACCTTGTGCAGGGGACATGGGTTTGGCTAGCACTGGGTGTTCTAGCCAAGGACTCTAGGAACTTCCCTCAGCCAGACGAATTCAGGCCGGAGAGGTTTGACCCAGCATGCTCTGAGGAGAGGAGGCGGCACCCCTACGCGCACATTCCCTTTGGTATTGGGCCAAGAATGTGCATCGGCCACAACCTCGCCCTCATGGAGATCAAACTCTCCCTCATCCATCTGTACAGATCCTTCGTCTTCGAGCTCTCCCCTTCCATAAAGGACCCCCCAGAGTTCCACTATGGTCTGGTCCTCAACTTCAAAAATGGCATCAGAGTCCGCCCCGTCAAGCGATGGCCTTGACCACCTTCACCCTTCCCCACAACTGTACATAATCTCTCTCTCTCTCCCCCTTCTCTCTCTCTCTCTCTACGTATACATGTATGTATATACGTGTGTGTATGTATGTATACACAGAGATATGGATATATACATATATATATATAATATTATTGTGTGGTGTAGATATGTTTGTGGAGGAAAATAGTACTCTCGTGTGATCCTATCCATGGTCTCCTTTTATTTTTATCTTTTCCTTTTTTTTTTTTGAACATCAAAATACACAAACCATATCCTTAGAACACACTCTCAAGCGCCTTTTTATTTTATTTTAGATGATATCCTTAAATCATATGCTGTAGAGATAATAATAAAAATATTCGAGGTATTTTCTTGATAGCCCTTGCTTCTTTTGTTGGGCACTTGTATCTCAAACGATGACCGGGCCGCTCAGAAATGAATTCTCAAGAAGAAATATATGAAGAGTACCGGACGATTAGAAAGAATATTATATGTAAAAAGCTTGGAGAAGCAAGCAGGGCTCACATTTTACTCGATGAAGGAACGAAATAGATGGAAAATGATTACTCAAGGAACTGAAACTGCACACGGAGAACATATGATCTGATTGATCAGTCTTGCATAATCTCGTTTTGGTTTAATAAGAAGATTAAGGGTGCGTATCAGCTATGTTTTTGGGTCAAATGACACTGAGAATTTTGCTGTGGCATCACTGGTAGATTGGATTTAATCCATTCATGTATGTTCTTGATATGATGAGAAGGTAGAGAATTTAAATAACAGTAAGTTATTTAATAAGTAAAGTATGCTCTAGTTGATGGAGAATCGGTCCGTGGAAGAGAGAGAGAGAGAGAGAGAGAGAGAGAGAGAGAGAGAGAGAGAGAGAGAGAGAGAGAGAGATGCGCTTATTGAGTACCAATCAGAAACACTTTCAAAAGGGGAGTTAAAAATGGACGGAAATCCGCTGGAAAAATCCTACTAAAAAAGATTTAAATTCCGGACCCTTTTAAGGTCAACCCTTAACAGCTAGCACTAATAGAAGAACCCGAGGACCTTGCCACCGACATTCTTCCTCCTGGCATCCTCATGGTCCATGATGCCCGCAGACGTCGTCAGCACAATATACCCAAACTGCCCATTTTGAAGAAAGAAAAAGAAAATAAATAAATCATAACTCTGCTGTTCATTAGCTGACTAAAGAAGCAAGATCAGAAAAAAAAAAAATCGATTATAAAATCAATTGGATCCTAGACAAGAGCGCTGACCTGCCGCGAGGGAAGCAGCCTTGCAGTCCACGGTTCGATCTCTTTGACCCCCACGTCAAATCTAGGGCTGATGACACCACACTTGTTCAGTCGGCCGTTCAGCTCCACCACGATTTTACCAGCCCTGTGATCGTCCACATACTCGAACTCCCCAATGTATCCTGAGGAACCCGCCAGAGGAGAAGGATGAAATCAAAGACGATGATAATATAGAATATTAGGGAGAAGAAAAAAAGAAAAAAAAAAGAAGACGAGATGTGTGGGGCATACCATGCTTCTGCATGACCAGGAGGAACTTGATGATCACCTTGGAAGATGGCCGGATCAGGACCTGCCGCTTACCCCGCTTCTCGGCGTTGTACATGCTCTTAAGAGCGTCATTCAGGACGCTGACTCTCACCATCTTGAAGAAGACTACGCCTAAGAAATGTTTATGAGACAGCAGTGATTTAGAAATCAATGAGAAAAGTTCAAAAAAAAAAAAAAAAAAAAACCAAAGAAACGACTAGGACGTTATATATTAATATCCAGATTAATAGATTCATCTCATATATTATTTAACAGTTAACATTGAACCCATGCATGGATGAAATCGCAGCCCGTGAAAGGATAAGTAGACTAGTATATGCCCAGATGGATATGTATCAACTTGTCTGATGCCGGCAACAAAAAAGAGAAAGCTTTAGAGGGGCACGGATAATTGACTTAGAGATTACTATTGCCAGCCTTCGATGCAAAGTGCACCACTTTAGATGGTGTCTTTGCTCCGTAACTGACCTTAAAAAAGCTGCTACATATGGGACTTTATTGGTGATGGAGAGAGCATTCCATCTCTTATGTTTAACAGTTTCCATTAAACCCATGCACAGTAGTCATTTTTTTTTTAAAAATTCATATAAAATCGAAGCCCAGTGAAGAAAAACTAAACTAGTATTTGCCCTGATCGATATGTATCAACTTGTTCGAGGCCTTCAACAAAATGAAAACTTTGAGAGGCACGGAGAATTGACTTAGAGATTGCTATTGCCAGCCTTCAAGGCAAAGTGCGTCATTTTTAATGGCGTCTTTGCTCTGCAAACTGGCTTGAAACAAATTGTGACAAATCAATCGGAAAATTTTAAAAAGAACATGAAACGGATGAGACCATATCCCATGAAGGCTAACCAAATTAGCACGTGCCCTGATCAATATATATCAACTTGTTCGAGACCTTCAACAAAACGAAGGCTTTGAGAGGCACGGAGAATTGACTTAAGAGATTGCTATTGCCAGCCTTCAAGGCAAAGTTCGCCACTTTCAATGGCGTCTTTGCTCTGCAAACTGGCTTGAAACAAATTGTGACAAATCTGTCAGAAAATTTTATAAAGACATAAAACCGATGGGACTATATCCCATGAAGGATAACTAAAGTAGCACGTGCCCTGATCCATATATATCAACTTGTTCGAGGCCTTCAACAAAATGAAAACCTTGAGAGGCACGGAGAATTGACTTAGAGATTACTATTGCCAGCCTTCAAGGCAAAGTGTGCCACTTTCAATGGCGTCTTTGCTCTGCAAACTGGCTTGAACGAATTTGTTACAAATCAATAAGAAAAACTTAAAAACACCCCAAGAAACAGATGAGATTTTGCCATTGCAACACTTATATTTACCAGTTTCACAAAACCCACCCAAAGTAATCAATCTAAAACAATATTGCATAAAATCGCAGCATGGTGAAGGATAACTAAACTAGTATTTGCCCAGATCGACATGTATCAACTTGTTCGAGGCCTTCAACAAAATGAGAACTTTGAGAGGCACGGAGAATTGACATAAGAGATTACTGTTGCCAGCCTTCAAGGCAAAGTGTGCCACTTTCAATGGCGTCTTTGCTCTGCAAACTGGCTTGAAGGAAATTGTGACAAATCAATCAGAAAAACTAAAAACACCCCAAGAAACAGTTGGGATTTTATTGGAGACGGATAGACCAGTTCATCTCTTATGTTTAAAAGGTTTCCATTAAACCCATTCACAGTGATCAATTTAAAACAATATTACATAAAATGGCAGCCCAGTGAAGGTTAACTAAACTAGCACAATCCCTGATCGATATGTATCAACTTGTTCGAGGCCTTCAACAAAATGAAAACTTTGAGAGGCACGGAGAATTGACTTAAGAGATTACTGTTGCCAGCCTTCAAGGCAAAGTGCGCCACATTCAATGGCGTCTTTGCTCTGCAAACTGGCTTGAAAGAAATTGCTACACGATGGTTATTTCCACCGTGATAGTTCAAATTATCGAATAAGACTGCTAGCCGCCCTTCCACCCTCGTGTATTTTGAAAGGAGAAAATTCACATGCAGCACCGTGTTTGGGGCCAACCGCAAAATAAACTTCGCGGCGCACGGAGAATTTCTGTTTAGACTGATATTTACCGTTTTCGATGTAAAGCGAACCACAAAAACTGGTTTCTCCGCTCTGCTAACTTGGCACGAAACGGCACGAATGGACTTGCCGAAACAGAAACACAGCATTGAAAGAAAGATAAAATATATCACTACGAAACGAAAGATAACTTCAAACCTAATATCCTCGGAAACAATGCTATTTGAAGAGAAACGTGATCAACGTACCTCGGCGGAGCAAGAAGGCACCGGCGACGAGATCTCGCGGCCGCTCTGCGGGATGAAGGAGGCGGCGGCGGAGTTTAGGGCTCTAGACACCCACGTCCTTATATAGAACGGAAAACAGACATCGTGGGTTCTCTTGGGCTTTTCTTCGATCAGATTTTTAATGGGCTCGTTTCGATATGGGCCTAGAAAACTGGGCCAGGGTTAAAAATGGCCCATTTAATTATATTGTATATTTTTATTCAGAAAGGTAACCCCAGAGCGTTAGAATATATTTAATAAAATTTCGTTTGGCAATATTATAAAAATAACCTCACTCTTTGTGGTTTACCTTTTTCAAACCTTTTAACTGTTTATTCCAGAAAACCATTTTTTTTGTAGAGCGAGAGAGAGAGAGAGAGAGAGTATGTGATTTCCTATGCGTTAAAGTATTCCCCGGGTTAGAAGGATTTCCGGGCCGGGCTGGGATGGGCCTAGTCCGAGAAAAGCCCGGGTAACGGAAGATGATTTAAAGCCCGTTCCAAGCAGCGCTGCAGGGGGTTCCGTACTCGCCAGCCGCAAGTAACCTCGGGCGGTCCTCTTACGTTGACAGACGGCTGAGGATGTGTACGGCTGACAGTCGTACAAAAAACTTGCGGCAGATTATGACACGTGTATGCCTGAAATCGAGCCAGCACCTCCGGGAATGTGCTCGCGACACCCAAGATCAACGACCGATTGGAGTAGAGAAACGTGGTCGATGGGCGAAGCCTGGTCCCAACGGGATTGACTTGTTGACCAGGAGATGGAACGGCGGGTCTCTCTGTCCGAGGAAATATTTAATCGGGGGGGAGAATTTCTCTTCGGTGGGCCTGGAGGGGTCATTTCTCCGTACTCAATCCGGCAAGCGTTCTTCTTCTCGGTGGGATGGAGGGTCAAATGCGCCGCCTGACTTTTAGAGAGAGAGGAGGGGGCGGGGGCGGCGACTGGTTAATGAGACAGACATGCCCTTGGTGGGTCTGGAGAGTTCTTCCCTTCATTTGCCTGAAAACTTGTTCATCCAATTGATGATCGTTTGCAGAGAGAGAGAGAGAGAGAGAGAGAGAGAGAGATACCCCCGTAAGAATGGCGAGTGATATTCATTTCCACAAGAGAAGTTACACAGCGTAGGCGGTTGCCATGAAGAAAAAAAATATATATATAATCGAGAATGAGAAAAAAAAAAATCTACACAAAAAGAATCCTATGTTAGATCCGGCGACCTCCTCATCCCTTCCGCGTCTGACTTTCGCAGGAGGCGAAGGTAGGCACATGGTTTCAGCCGGAATTCGAGGGGCTACTCTGTCAGATCACACCCGAACTTCTCTCTCTCCAGCCGAGCTATGAACAATCAAGCTCCGGCCATCAAGATCTCTCCTTTGACTTGGGGAGAGTGAGAGAGACCCTAGGGCTGGGGATGCCCATCTGGGCCAACCTCGGGGAGAGCCTCATCTGAGGGCTCGGCCGGGGAGATGGTATCGGGCCCTTGCTCCCCGCCGGCGGCGGTCCCACCCTCGGCGAGAGGTTGACCTGTTCCAACGCCATGAACTGCAGGTCAACGGGGTAGTCCCTCACACAGCCGATGCGAGGGCCGGCGCCGGTGGTCCACTGGCAGGACATTGTGGTGGTGGGGGCGCCGCCGCCGCCGCCAAGAGCAAATGTGGGTCCCCCGGAATTGGAACCCCCACCACCAAGGAGAGAGTCGTCTGAGCTTGCTGTCTCCTTCGGGGGTTCCTCAGTCGTACAGGGCCACGGGAACTCATCATCGTCCACTGAACATTTCTGGAATATTAATTTTTTTTAATAAGATTCTGCATTTTCAGATGAATAATCGCATAGTTTTCGCAACATAAATGTAGAATATGATATGAGCCAGAAAAAATTGCTGATGAATAACAATATGAGAGGAGAAGATCTCACCTTTACATCAGTTAGATCCACGTTGTTCTCCGTCAGGAAGCTGATGAACTCCTTGAAGTTCTCTTCGGTTGGGAGGTAGTGGCCGCTGTACGGCCATATGGCCTGGAGAAAAATAGAAATAAAAATTAAGAACCATATAAAATAAAGCTGCAGAAATATTTAAATAAAAACTGTTCATATATTATTATTATTATTATTATTATTATTATTATTTTTTGGGTACCTTCAGAACGCCGTTTATGGCGACCAACCTCCCTGCAGAAGTCGTGGCCCCCCCTGCAAGGAAGCTCGAGTGCTGAAAGGTGCCCTTCTTCTTCTGCGAGCACAATAAAACCCTAATTAGACGGATAAACCAAGGCAAATAATTACGAAAAGTAGGGCAATAAAGAATATTCATAATGATAGTGAAGATGATAGTGATGATTACCTGCCCAATGTATAATTTCCTTGATGTGCTCAAGACAAAGATCCACTTGGACCCTTCTACGGAGTTCACGGGGGTTTGACTTTGCCTGTAGATGAGCTTCCCACTGTCCACGATCACTTCATACGATCTCCTCTCCTTCTGCAACTCAGATCACACGACCCAGTCATGACAATGACGGGCATTGATAATTCTCATGGGTTTACATGTAAATCGACGAAAATCATGCCCAGAAACTTAGACAAATCCGCGGAAATGTATGCTGGGGAGACCAACCGGGCCGAGATATTGAATGCACTGGCGCTGAAGCTTGCTCCTTGAGCACTTCTCGTGGCTCACCTCTTTGCCACTCCCGATGTCTAGCCTGCATTTCACCCATGGAGAAAGAAGATGATGAGCAAGCAAGATATCGTCCAAGTCTTTTTTTTCCCTGAGATGGGTCCCGGAATCTGAGGAAAGTCAGAGAAATATATAGTTTACCAGTAGAAGAAGGGCTCGCTGCTCTCACTGTTGAACCAGATTTCATAATACAGGTGCAGATTGTGCCCATATCGATGGCGGGGGTCGATCTGAAAAGGATTCCCACATCAGGAACTGCATGTGATCTAAAGATTTTTGAGATGATGGCCGCTGATAGCCGGGGATCAGGTGAGGACTTACTGCTTCGAGCCAGTGCCGTAGTGCTAGTTTCTGGGCCTTCTCGTTCTTGGACAGGCCCTTGCCAAGCTGAAGAATGATGAGAACGTATTAGCCCCAGTAACATGATATATACGATTATAAAACCCACTTAATCCCAAGGAAATTCTCTTAATTTTTTTTCCAATCTTTGTTCTTTTTTTTGAAGAATTCTACCTTGGCAGCTCTTGTCCGCGCCCTAGCCCAGCGCGAGACGGCAGTCTCTGGTTTCTCGTCGTTGAAGAAGGAAATCGAGCTTTTCGACAGAGAAGCAAAATCCAGTGCCTTCCACCTGCGTGAGAAGGAGATATGGTCGTAGATTCAGGAGATTGCCCGGAACAGGGGATGAATTCCACGAGGAGAGGAGAGGATAATGATACCGACCAGAGCTCCTCCACGACCACGGCGCAGTCGGCGAGATTTCTTCGGATCCGATAGCCTTTGTAGAACTTCTGCAACTTGGTCGCCGCAGCATCCTTCTCGTCCATGGACCTCGGGGAAGAAGACGACTCCGGGAGGGGCGGCATCTCCGGCTTTGTTCCGTCGACCGCTTCATGGCCGGCGCTCCACAGGCTGATAGATTCTGTGTCCTCGTTCTCGGAGACCAGGGCCCTGAAAGAGATTGCGACCTGGAGATTGGGCTTCCCAGATCCCCAGTTTCTGAAGCTGAGCGATCGGTCAACAGCATTCTTGCTAGGCTCATCTGGCGCAGAAATTTGTTCTCCGTTACTGTCCTTAAAGCTGAGAGCTCGCAAGGCCCTATTAACATCCTTCTCGTTGAAACTCAGGGACTTCAAGAGGACGACCTCGACATTTTCAGCCAGACCAAACGCCTTCCTACGCAGTGATCTGATCCATGGCGATGACAGAGAAGAGAAAGAAAGACCCATATGCCGAAAGACCACTCTCTCCCCCCCTCCCACACTCCTAATCTATGGGATTTTGCCGTGACGATCCGCCTGTAACAGAATGATGAAAACAAGAAGAGAGTCAATAGGTGAAGAAGGAAGGGGGTCGGGCCTGCCTCCCCCGGCTTTTTTCGAGCTATTATCAGTATCATCAAATCTCTGTTGGGCAATCTGGTAAACATCAGGAGGTCAGTCGCCCAACCACGTGAAGATTATCCGACGAAAGGAGAAACCCGACAAAAATGGGGGCTCCTCCACCGATAGGGAAGATCGTCGTCGGCAATTCCGGGAAGAAATCCATGACAGAGGGGAGAAATGCATAAGTGGACGGAGTTACTGGTCTCACCTCCCTGAGGGACGGGAAGAGGAAAACGAGAAGCCCTTCTTCTCTTCTGCGACTTGGAGGTGAAGATGGTGGTGGGTCTGGTCCTTCACCTTCCCCAGCGATGCTCTATTTATATCCATGGGATCCGAGGTACCGATGTTTTCAAAAGCTTGGGTGGGGGACAAGGTGACAGCGAAGAACCCTTCAAAGGCGAAATCAAGACAACTGATCCGCCTGCCTACAAAGAAAGTCTTGAAATCAAACTGCGTACTTTGAAAAGGAAAGGAGATCATACAAATCCAAAGATGGGTATTTTGAGAGACAGAGAAAGGGATAGAGAGAGATGGGCGAGATAACTACAACGGGAGTATGCCCAGCATCTGTCTAGTTAGACTCCGTCCGGTGAAGGACGAGCGAGAGCGAGAGACAGGAAAGCTCCCGCGGGGTTCTGGGAGAAGAGATGTTGACTATCCGTCGGGTGTGAGTCTCCGGTCCGTGTCTTCCGGTTAGTTAGTGTGGGGCCCGAGTTGAGCCCCAATAGTCAATTCTGAAACCTCAGTTTTCCCATGAGATATTAAAATATAAGAATTAGTGAAGGGTTGTTTATCGCGTGGGTTGGTTTAATTTAAAATTGTAATAATACATGAGAAATGAGATAATCTACTATTTTTCACAATAGTCAGACCAATGGACGCTACTATTTTTAGAACAAAAGTCAGAGAGAGAGAGAGAGAGAGAGAGAGAGAGAGAGAGAAGGGAGATGTGAGAAACGATGTTTCTCCTAAATTAGTCAAGCTGAGCGTTCGAGTATGTTGGGGGTGAGGGGTCAACGGGTCAACAGTCAATACACGCGGAGATTTTGTCTCTGGGGGAGGACAAGCGCTCATACCGTTTAGCTTCCAGACGCTGAATCCAGTAGATGTCTAAATTCCGTATGCATGCCAAAGAATTGATGTCAGAGCTTACGTAAATCTGGTCAAGTGCGCTGATCGTCTCACGTTGTTTTTTACGTGGTTGAGCTCCCTCCTTCTCTCTCTCTCTGTCCAAGTGCCCACCGTATGCGTAAACCGAGTTGAGGACTGATGACTCGGGTTCGTCCCCTGTTGTTCGGGTCGATCCCGGGTAGAAACCGTGTCGAGCAGGGCGGGTTTTCTTGAAGAATTCCTCTGGAACTCCCGCCAAACGCGCTCACCGGTGTCCGCTCTTCCAAACGTACGCTTTCCGTCGTCCGGCGGCGGAACGGGTCAACGACGGCAGAGTAGTAATAATCTCCATGGAAGTTAACAAAGATGGAGGTTAAAAACAATCACGTTACCAGCATTTTGGTCTAAAATCAAGCGCCGCCGTCCAAGGCAACAGATTCTATTCCGGGAATATGGCGGGCAACCGGTTTATAGATATCTCCTCCGCCGTTCTCCGGCGAGGGTTCTCGCAGGGATGGCGGCGGGGAGGGCGATGGTGGTCGTCTTCTTCGCCATGCTGGTGGCCATGGCCGGCGTGAAGATCGGAGAGGCCATTCCTTGCTTCGACGACTGCATGGGGCATTGCCTGCCGGTGAAGCACGCTTCATGGGAAGGCTGCGCCGGCCAGTGTGATCAGGCCTGCCGCTCTCTGGGGCTCAAAGGCCGGCAGCCACACCACCGGAGGCCGGCGCCGGCAGAGCATCGCCGCCACTGAGGCGGAGAAAAGGAGAAGCTCGTTGACCCGCCGCTATTCTCTTCATCTTCTTCGTCTTCCTTTTGTTTTACGTTCGGTCGCGCATGATTTCTAAAGGTCGATGGCTGGACCCGTGCTCTGCATGGGTGGTTCTTTAATAAATGAAATCTTTTATCTGTTGGATGCGTTGCAGGGAATTGGGTTCCTGGTTTGCATCAAATCTTTGAAGGATCAGAGGTAGAGGATCACTTTAGAGCTGAGCTGACGTGAATGAAATAGCTTCTAGAACGAATCAAGGCCAGGTTTTGCGGGCACAGGACGATAGTATCTGTTCTTATGAAGAAGAAATGATAGGCTAGAGACGGCAACCACACTCCGAGGGGAGATTCCCTCTCTCATCATACCCATTGAGCTAATGGTAGAAACGATCAAGAACGTTTGAAAGTCAACCCAATTATTTCAGAATTGGGTATCTAAGTCTAGATAAAAAACCGGAATAAGGCCCAGGGATTCAATTTTGATGTTGGAGAATAATGCATGACGTCAAATTCTATGGAGATATAGTGACATCCGGCCTGAAGCCTCGACCAAGTCTGTAGCGTCACCGTCTGTCTCTCTTCCTCTCCTACCTTGCTAGGCCATACCGCCGTGGACAATGTCCAAAGCTTGTCGAGAGAAGCACGTCTTTCTAGCACTAACAAACCAGTATGGGCATTCCCGCCTCATCTCAAGCGACCACAGGAAAGTTGGCCGGGAGAAACCCGATCTTTCCTCTCTGGTTTCCTCACCATCCCTCGCTCTATAACCGAAGAACGACCATCTCCTCTCTTTCTTGTCTCCCATCCTCCACCTTTCTCGCTCTAGGGAACCGTATGACCACACCTTCTCCTCCCTATTCAGCATCCGACTTGTTGGAACCCTCCACTCCTCTTTTCTTCCCATCCTCCTCCTTGGGCACACCATGCCTCAGAGCCTGCACAGCATGGACCGACGCCTGCCTTCCGACCCTCGCCTGCCGTGCTCGCCATGAACCACTCACTGGTACTATCCCCTAAAGAGAGGAAATATACTGAGTTCTGTACACTGCAACGACCACCTCAATGATCTGCCTAACATCTATATATATATATATATATATATATGTTATCAAGCTTGATGGATTGGTCGAAAAATATGAGGCCAACATTTCCTCTCATTATATGGTTAGTGTGTAATCTTATTTACTAATTTCAGTCAAAACAATGTACCGAAAATATGATTTAATCGACATTTTAAACTATGAATGAGATAACAATGTGAATAAACCAAAAAAAAAGAAAAAAAAAGAGTACGAGAGAGAAACAAACCACATGAGACATTGACATTATGCTGCTATTCGCACCATATAACATTGTTGCCTCGATTTAGATTGTATATTTCAAGGACGTGGAGGACACATTGTTCTTGAATGAAATATTGAATTTCTCGTAGGATTTTATATAACTCTTTGTATCACTCCATTGCATGGATTTCATTTGTTGAATATCCGACTCTTCCATCAACCCCTAAAACTAATAGTTTTTTGGTAGTTTTTGTGATAACAATGTGTTTGAGTTTCTTCACTATAAAAAAAATATAGTGAGTTTATTCACATTCTCATGTATCTTAGAAGTCTATTTGAGTGCTTCACCTCCTATAGTGAGTTGCAACTACGTCTTCTGATGCCTATATTTAATTTTGTCATTTGCATGGTCCAAGCCTCATAGCCTTACACATTAATGTTAGTACCTTAGAAAAAAAAAATAGTGCTTGACGTTCATCTCAAAGACCCGTCTACTTTACCACTTTCTAATGGTGTTCACTTGGATTGTTCGTAAATGTACTTACCAATCGAACTCTAGGTGCAATATTTAGTTCTGATTTTTCTTTGTCTGAAAATCCAATGCATTTCAAATTTGAATTGACTTGAATTTGTCTAGATCTAAACTTTTCATAACTTTCTCAATATAAACATATCGAAATAACCATAGTTTCTTTTGTACTTTATCATTGGTTATTGATGTCAAAAAGTTCTCTGGCCACACTCAAATCCTTCATGGAAAAATTGTACAAAATGTTAATGTTCAAAGCTTTTAATGTTTTGATGATGACGAAGGATACTATGGTGGTATATGTATGATAAATTCACGTTACCCATTAAGTGTGAAAAATCAAATCAGATAACTGAACTAAGAGAAATTCACTGAAGCACAAAATATTCAATGCTCACATTTCAGATGACTATAATGCTATTTAAATGTGATATTGTGTCATAGAAAAGGCATGGGTGTACTCATCGGAAAGATAATTGAAAGAGAAAGACAATAAAATGATGTGCACATAAGAATTCCAAGTTTTATTTTTTATGTTTTTTAAATTAAATAAATGTTTATTGAGTTGAAATTTCAGGCACTAAGATCACCCTAAACAAACTATTTTCCAGCCATTGGAAGTGATGATTGGAAAGCCTAATATGCTACATATAAATGGGGCATTGATGACCACATTAGAGTTGAGAGAGAGGGAGGGGAAGAAAATCAGAAGAGAGAGAGCCACAGCAGTCGTCTTCATCCTCTAAAGAGTGCACGCAAATTTTTTTATTTTTGAACACCAAAAAGAAGACGAATCCAGTAGTTGCTCAAGCCTTTATAGTCTCCTCTAAACTTCCACAATATTCAACTAGAGTATTTCATGCCTCTAGAAGCTTAAAGCAGAAGATATCCAATTAGGATACTACTTCTCTTCTTTGGGCTTGGAGAGGTCATTTCTCGGTACTAAGTCTGGCAAGCGTTCTAATTTCGGTGGGCTCTGGCGAGGGGGATTCCACTGAGCGGGTTCTTTGTTCTTTCTTCACTGGAGGGTCAAACTCGCCTGCTGACTTTTAGAGAGAGAGGGAGCGGCGAGTGGTAATGCGGCAGGTATGGTCTTGGGTCTGGAGAATTCTTCCCCTGGTTTTCCTGATGACTTGTTCGTCCAATGGATGATGGTTTTTCAGAGAGAGAGAGAGAGAGAGGGAGCGGCGGGTGTTTAATGAGAGACGTATGGTCTTGGTGAGTCTGGATGAATTACACAGCGTAGGACGGCGCATTGAAGAAAAAAAATCATCAAGAATGAGAAAGAACATAAAAAATTATACCCAAAAGAATCTCAAGTTAGAACCGGTGAACTCCTCTCCCATTCCGTGACTGACTTTTTCAAGAGGCAAATCTGTCAGATCACACCAAAACTTCTCTCTCTCCCTCTCTCTCCCTCTCCACTAGCTATGAACGATCAACTCTGGTCATCAAGATCTCTCCTTTGACGTTGGGAGGGCGAGAGAAAACCTAGGGCTGGGGATCACACCAAAACCTCGGGGAGAGCAATCTCCTATCAAAACTTTTAACATTATTGTTCACTTAATATTTTAGAGTATGTTTAGTACTCAAGTCGATCTAGAGCTTGAATCTAGAGATGATTAGTTAGGCATCATTCTAATTTGGCCTTCTAGAGCCATAAATCTAGAAGAATGTTTTGGTGGGAAACTCTTGAGTTGGATGAAACTATAAAATCCAATGAACGCTAGTTGAAACATTTATATTTAATTTAATTTCACTAAGAATTAGTAAAACTTAAGGATGTGATCCTTAGAGAGTGGAGAGGCCAAGTAGATTCAACCACTCTAAATCATATATGTAAGTAGATACAAAAATATTAAAAAATATTCTAAACCATGATAAGTCCAATTCACCCTCTTGGTTGCTTATGCCACCATAGCATATCCAACAAGAAGCATCTTTTTAAGTTTTGATTCTTCTTTTTTATGTGCCTATTACATGATAAGGTTAAATAGTGTAATTATGATTATCAAATTTTAAGAATACACAATTGTTAATCTGACATATCTTAAATTTCAAATCATGAATAAATTTACCAGATCCAAAATATTATTAAGCCATACAAGCTCCTCTCCATTTGGAAAATCATTTGATCCTTGCCTTTAAACCCTCATCATTCATAGCTTTCTCTAATTCTAGCAAAAACTTGATCTACATGTTTTCTTCAAAACATTTTGGTTCAAAATGAATAATATACATTACATGATTAACAAAGATGGATTTTTCTACTAGTTTCAAGATCAAGTTCTACTTTTTAGGGGAGATGAATACTTCATACATTTTACTTGATCTTCTTCATCCATTTATGTGTTCAGAATTTTCATATCTATCCATCTTTACTGCCATTGATTTCCAGATATTATATGCTATCTTTCTCAACTTTAATTTGACTGTAACTTGTACTTATGCATATAGTTCATCAAAGATGATGTTCTTAGCTTTGAGATCCTTAACATTTTTAAAGACAACATAATGGGTAGAATGGTAAAATAGTAATTTTACATTACTAAATTTATACGTATCAATTAGAAAAATATTTATTGAAAACTAATGTAACCCTCATAATAATACCACCTGATTTCATGATTGACTGCATACTTGGAGTGCCTTTATGTTTTTTGGGAATAATTGCCTAACTAGATGACTTTTACAGCAATCAACAAAAAAACACATTGAAATTATGCTAATTTTAGAATATCACAACTACATTACCCACGGAATTAAAATGCTTGATAAGAATACACATCAACATGAGGAAAATGTAAACAAGGGCAAAATGAGACTTTTATTTTACAAAAAATACAAATACCTTCAAGACCATTGAATATACTTGATTATATTGGAACTACAACATAACCATTGGAAGATAATTTTGAGTTAATTTTTAATTTTAAAAATCACATAAAAATGGAAAAATAATTTTTATATCAATGATGTCCTCCCAAATCTTGAAGCATATAAATAAATCTTTCTACCTCAAGCATTCAAAGTTCTCTACACAAGCCACTTTTGCATATCTAGCCAAAAAATTTACAATACATAAGCCATATGCTAAATTTAAAGAGAAATATATTATTATTAAATTATTTTTGACTTATAGTCAAATACCTCCTTAATAACCCTACATGG